AAAAAAGTTTAGTGCATAGTCTGCATTGCTCCTGTAAATGTCTGTGTTTGCACGTGTCTGTGTCTGATGCTTTGCAAAAGTGAGGATGCCACTGCAGCTATTGTGCAAGGCAGGGTGTTGGCTAGGGAAAGCACAAGTGCGTATGTTCTCCAGGCTGCTACTGTAGCCTGCTGCAGGGGTGCAGCACACCAAGTGGAAGGAATACCATGCACATGCACTTGAACAGCTGGGTCAGAAGCCTTAGTCTGAGTTCTGTGTTAGAGACAAGGAAATTTTAGATTTACCTTAAAAATTTCTAACTCTTTCTCTGTCAATTTCCTGCATTGCTTTAGTTTGGGGGTGTGATTAGATTACTAGGAAATTTATTAGTAATACGAATACTTCTCTGTGAATCAGAATTATTCTCCCAGTTGAGCAATCAAAACAAAATACAGAAATAAGATACTGGAACTGAATCAGAGTGGAGCTGCACCTTTTAGACACTGATTGAATGTTAGTGACAGAAGGCTTGTTCTCAATGTGTAGGAAAGCTGCCTTCAGTGTGGTTTATACAGCTAAATTCCCAATAGTGTTTCTAGTCAGTTTTTTTTTTCCTAGTGAGTTTTTAGAGAGGCTCATGCTACTGAATCATGCATCTAATCTTGTAGGGAAGCAGTCTTCAGCCAATGTCCCAGGGGAAGAATGCTATGGTGGCTATTTCCTACACACTCTGTCAGTATCCATACCTGGACCACAGGGTTTTTTATTATTTATTTATTTATTTATTTTTTATCGTTCCTTCATAGATCTGAGGCTCTGGAGTCTTTAACACGCTGTGCCCATGTCAGCAGTACACACTCACTCAGGGCTCCCTCTCACTCAGGAGTCCTTCACTCTCTACAGGCTTGCATTCAGTATAAAAAGTCTAACAAGGAAGTCTAGCGACATTGAAATAATGAAAATGTTTAGAAAGAATAACAAGCTTTTCTCTTCAAATTCTTTAAATGGCACTCAATGAATCATTTCCAAATATAAGTCAGAGAAGGGAAAGAAAAACAAGAGAAGTTAAATTTCCATTTGCCTTGGTCATTGTGAATAATGAGCCGGAGGTTTTACAGCTTTTAAAATACTCCTGGGAATAATGCTCAGTTAAAAATAATTTTATGAAGTTCCTTATTTATTTGGGATAAAATTGGCTAAAAAGAATAGAGCATGGTTTGGTCAATATAATTTTGTCAAGCAGCAATTAATGCCAGGGTAATATGGAGGATGCAAAAATGGAAACCTGGCCCTGTCCTTCAGTTGATAATCAGGTCAGAAAGATAAGTGAGATGAGTGTTCCAGTATAGTTTCCGTGCTGTCACAGAGGACATGGTGTTCTGTCTGTGTTAGGGGAGCTGGGAAGGAAGCTTCGGAAGCTACTATGTGTTTGTGATGATCGAGCATTTTTTTCTAAGGAAATGACATGAATAAAAGCTTGGAGCCCTCAAGGGATTTCCACTTGTGGGATCACTGGATATAACTTACTATGACTAGTGAGTACCATGATGAGAAATGGAGGGCATCGTTAGCTTGGTCCAGCAGCCCCAGCGGCAGATCTCTAGGCATAAAGTAGATTTACATTGTAAAGGGACATGCATGCCTGTTGAAATTTTCAGACCCCTTTGTCTTTCTGGAGAGCCACAGCCAGGGCAGGCTTACATTTTAGGAAGAAAGCACTAGAGAGCAGATTGGAAAAGGTGATGTTTGTTCATTCATTCATTCATTCATTCATTCATTCAAAAACTGTGTATTGTGTATGTACTTTGTGAAAGTAACTATTTTAGGCTCAAAGATAGCTGCCCCTTGTGGAGCTTGCCACTAAACAATGAGACATATAACTTGCCAATAAGCATAGTAAATGAATTGATTGATAGTATGCTAGGAGCTAGTGAATGCTAACAAAGAAGAAAAAGTACAGGACTTTGGGAATGCCAGGTGAGGAGTGCCATCTAAGTAAGATAACAACATTTCAAGTTCAGAAACTATTGCACTTATTCAAATAAAAGATGATGCCTGTGGCTGTGGCAACAGCTCAGTGGTTAAGAGCACTTATACTCACAGGGATCTGAATTTGGTTCCTGGCACCCATGTCTAGAGCTCACCACTGTCTGTTACTCCAGTTCTGGAGAATCTGACACCCTCCCCTTGTGTAAATTTTAAAAGAAAAAAAAAGAGACAGGACTAGACTAAAGGTGAGACTTTAGAGTGGAGAAATGGGGTGTTTTGGAAAAAATGTTTCTTTTCTTTTATTTCTGAAGCTTTTTCATACAAATGACAAGCCAGCAGTGCATTTCAAGGTGAATGGCTTTTAACACCTACCTTGGAAGCTGGTAAGACTGTCACAGTCAGACCCCACATTTGTCTCCTTACCACTGCGGACCAGTTCCTCCCTGGCCACCTGATGTTCATGGTAATCAGCTTCTTGCATATGTGTATCTCTTAGTGTAGCTTAGTCTTGCCAACTTAAAAAACAATTGCCCTCTAGTCTTTTTAATATAGGATTGTTTATTTATCTGTGTGGTATATGTGTGTATACATGGTCACATGTGCTTATGCTCATGTGTGTGTGCTCCGGTGCATGTGTATGTGTTTGCATATATGTGGATGCCAGAAGGTGAAGCCATGTGTCTTCCACAGTCATTCTTCACTTTATATACTGAAGCAGGGTGTCTCACAAGAACCATACTCTTGCTAGCTTGACTACTGTAGTGAGCTATCTTACTCTGGGATCCCTTGTCATTGTCTTTCAAGTCCTGGAAATAGGAACAGGACACCATATGGACCTAGCATTTTTGTGAGTGCTGAGGCTCCCATGTCTGGTCCTCATATTCTCACAGCAAGCACTTTGTGCACTGAATCTTCTTTCCAGCCTCTTTCCCTTTCTTCTTAAGAATGTTTCCTCAGTTAAAGGGCTGGACTGTTTATCTTAGCGTTTCTCATCGCCTGGACTTTACTGACTATAAACTCGTAGTGCAGCTCACCATGCTTGTATGTTTTCTTAATTGGAAGCTGGATCCCAGGCTTCATCAGCCTTGGGTGCCATCCTTTTGGCACAGCTACTGTGTGTTCTTTCTCTGAGCAGCACATACTGTCTAGGTGTCTCTTCTGCAGAGTTAATAGATGTGTCTGCTCAATGCCTAGAGTCAGCAATTGCCTGGGGTTGCAAAATGATTGAATTTTAGTTTTAGCTATTAGCTGTAACACTTTAGTTTTAATGTGTTTAAGTGTTTTGCTGAAATGTATATTCATGCACAGCATATATACCTTGTGCCCATGGAGGCTAAAGAGCATTGGAACCACTCCAACTGGAGTTATGTACAGTTGTGAACTGCCATGTGGGTGCTGGCAACTGAACTCAGGTCCTTTGTAAGAGCAGCAAGTGTTGTTACCTGCCGAGCTATCTCCCCAGCTGGTGAGCTGCAATACTTACTAAATAAACATTTCCCTTTTACTGTTTGGTTTCTCAGTTGTACAGTTCTTATTAGAAAGGCAGGATAAATGTGCTTTCTTTTATTTACCAGTTTTCAAGGTAATGAGTTATTTCCCTGTCATACACAGTTTGATTACTCCATCCATGTTTTCACTATAGTGTTATTGACTGTACTGCTCTAGTTTCTTACTATCTCACACTGGAGTAGAGCAGCCCTCCCTCCTTCTCTATAATTGGCTCATTAGATGCTCTAGAGAATATTTGTTGCCTGGTTGGGGGTTCTCTTTTTTCCCCACACATGTCAAGTTCCCGTGATCTTTGGCTTTTCCCCACACAGGTGCTAACACTATACAGGTCTCCTGGCTGATAAATACAGCCAGCTGTACTTTGGGTTTATGATAGATATCACCTAGTTTTGCTATAAATGCTTTCCATGGAATTTTGGTTTTTGTTATTAGTTGGTCTGTTTTTTTATGTGATAATAAATAAGATTTTTTAAAAAAGCTTCCGACAAGAGAGATGACTCAGAAGATATAAGTAGACTGGGCTTGAGAGAACCCAAGTTTGATCCCTGCATCCATGTTGGGCAGCTCACAACTTCCTGTAATTCCAGCTCCAGGGAGATCCAATGTCTGTGTTTCCATAGTCACCTGCACTTGTGTACACACACTCTTGCACAGACAAAGACATAGACACACATAATTACAAATAATAAAAGTAAGTCTTACCAGTTGTTCACGGCCACCAGCCTCTTCTTTCCAGTAAGAGGTTGAGCCATGGAGGAGTTAAAGTGCAGTTGAGAATAACTAAATTTGAAGTTTTTGACCTGGAAGATAAAGTGGGTGGCAGTTTCCTTGAAGAAGATTGAAAGTTTGAGGAAAGGAGCAAGGTACATGAGGAATGAGAGCAAGCTTTGTCTCAGTAGGTTTGCAATGAGCATAAAATACCATGTAACAACAATGTCTTGTTAAGAACTGTGCTGCTAGCCTTTCCCAGACAGAGCTATGTGGTGAAACCCCAACACCTAGAGGGTGATTAATTCCATCACAAGTAGGAAAAAAGCTACACTATTTATGGCCAAAACTACAGTGTGGAATACAAAGCATCCATCTGAAGATGAAAGAGACCTTAGTAACAAACATGAATAAATTAGGAGTTTTATGTGTTTTTCATAAACAGGCACGACATGTATACATTGAGCAGCAATCCAAACTGCATGCACTTACACCCCAAGATCTGGTGCTTTGGAGTCTAGGTGTGGATACCTTGGATTTTGGCTATAATATGAGAATAGATTGCTAAAGTCTGAGCATATTTCTGCTTGGGATTTAGACGTGTTAGGTATTTGTAAGCTGTGCATCTTTGTGCTTTGTGTAGACTGCATGCTATCATGACAGTAGTGAGACCTTCTCTATGGTAAGCCCATCCAGGTGGGTCTAAGCTGAGACAGACTCCGAGTGCATTTGAAAACATAAGGGTCCTTCTACACATTTGTTAGCATTACATATGAACTCAAATTGACCTGTAACTTTCCACTTCTGTTTTCTCTCTGCCTTCTTTTCCAAAAATCTAGGCCTGCCTTCAGAGACCCGAGGTCAGACTTGAGTCACTCAAAGAAGATATTAAGGAATTCTTTAAAATATCAGGTTTGTAAAGTTCCACTGTCTTTAAGCATCCTCAGATTTTCGGCTTTTCCCTCAAAACTGGTATAACTCAGCTAAGGGGCTTCTGCTGGAGAGGATTAGAGTTCACACATTTTAATAAAATTATGCAAACACTCAAGGACACTGTAGAAATGACTGCTTTGCAACAATCAGTTGCTTTCTTCCTACTCAAAATATGTGCCACGTGTGGCAAATATATCCTTACTTAGTAACTTGTCTTTTTACTTGCTGCTATGGCTCTTCTCTTTCTACATTATTTTTCTATGCTTTCAAAAAAGAAAATCTTAATTTTTTTGGCAAGAGATGACCTGGCATCAACACTTAATGTGGGAGCTGAAATACTAAGTGGTATTTCCCAGAGTATTCATTCTGCTTTTGCTGACCAGCAGTTTGATAACTAGTTAACTGTAACTGGCTCTTGAGTTCTGTCTCCGGTATGTACTGGACTGTTTCTTGTCCTTCTCCCTAACACATCCATCATAGCATCAGTTTAAAGATATTGTCATTCATTTAAGCACATTGACAGTGGAAGAAGGCATTACCCTTAACTTGAGAAATGATTCAATAGTTTTACTTACATAGCAGTTAATCTTTGACAGAATTCTCTCACAAATAACCATGATGCCAATGTTTTAGTGAGTTAAATTTTATTAAATTGAGGCTAGAGACATAGCTCAGCAGTTAAGAATACTGACTGCTCTTGAAGAGGACCCTAGTTCAGTTCCCAGCACACACGTGGCAGCCTGAAACAATTCTAGTTCCAGAGGATCGAGTCTGTCTGACGTTTGCAGACTCATGCACAAATTTTGGTGTACATATATACATTCTGGCACACACATAAAATAATATATACTTTATAATTAAAATTTTTACTATGCTGCATATTTAAGACAATAATATTTATTTTTTTAAACTTAAAAACAGGTTGGGAGAAGAAACTTCAGAATGCTGTTTATAGTGAACTGAATGTGTGAGTTCTTTTCCATCTATTTTGAGATACTTTTTTTTAAGTAGATTTACCTTGTAAGTAGTAAAATTAATGTTTCTGTTTATACATATATTCCTATTTCTCATTAGTATACTTCTAGGGTTTCAAGTAAGTTAATGTCACAAATCACTACAGTTTAGTCTGAGATTGAATAATGATTAGGTGGTGCTTTTCTATATTACCAAATTTGTATATAGAGAATGGATTCATCCAGTATAATTAGGTAATGGGATAGATCTCATAATCCTTATATTCTTTTTATTCTGAAATTTTGAATATCATACTTCTTTCTGTCATTACAAACTGATCATTCTAAACATTTCTTTTTCTTTGTAAGATTACTATTGCTACTAAGAACCTACTGTTTTTAGTTTTATTTGTCAGGGATTACTAAAGTTTATACAACTTCTACTCTAAAAAAAAAGCAACGGGGTGGGGGAAGGGGGAGAGACAGATGCCTCAATGATTAAGAGCACATATTGGAAAACCCAAGTTAGATTCACAGGTAGCTCACCCACCTATAACCAGCATCAAGGGATACAACGACTCCCTCTTCTTGCATCAGTGAGAACCTGCACTTGATCAATACCTCCTCCCCCACAAATGCTTAATTAAGAGTAAAATAAATCTTTTAAAAAGAAAAATGTAGGCAGGAATATTTGTTAGGTAACATTAAGTAACTGGATCTAAACACACACACTCACACTCATGCCTAATAAAGCTTACCTCATTTTATTTGTTTTAATAAACACTTCAAAGATATTAGGTTTTTATTAAGCAGAAAGTCTTATATATTCTGTTATTGACATGAAATCTGCCACTCTAGCTCAGTTTGGTACTTCCCACTTCATATTGCACACCTGGTTTCATTTTCCATTCACTTAAGATAAATGCACGTTTACTACTGTATTAACAACTATCCAGGTTATATTGGTGATAATTTGCATTGCTGGAATGCTTACTTTGTACCAGTGTCTTAAACGCTTTATATTCATTGGCTTATTTATGTACCAGGACATAGGTTCAATGCCCATCACTAGTCCCCTGAAAGAAGAAAAAAAGAGAGAAAAAACTGGAATGCAATCTTTATAACTACATCTACCAAATAGAAATTCCTATTATTTGCATTTTATGGAAGAGCAATCTACCTGACATGTTCAATTTTTTTGACATTTCAATGCTCATACTCAACTACTTAATCAAGTTACAAAGAAAAACAATTGCAAATAATCCAATCATGTTTTAGGTATGTATGGTAGTTTGAAAGAAAATGGTCCCCATAGGCCCTTAGGGAGTGGCACTATTAGGAGGTGTGGCCTTGTTGCAGTAGGTGTATTTTTGTTGGAGGAAGTGGTCACTGGGAGTGAGCTTTGAGGTCTCAGAGGCTCAAGCCACGCTCTGTGTGACATTCACTTCCTGCTTCCTGCCAATCTGGCTGTATAACTCTCAGCTCCTTTTCAGCACCATGTCTGCCTGTAGGCTGCCATGCTTCCCACAATGACTATAATCGACTAAACCTCTGAAACTGTAAGCCAGCCCCAATTAAATGTTTTCCTTTAAAAAGAGTGACTGTGGTCATGATGTCTCTTCATAGCAATAGAAACCTTAACTAAGACAAGTAGGTTTGTGATTTTGTTTTGAGTCATATTCATAGCTATACTTGGGCACATATGGCCCATGGGCTACAGGTTGGAAATGCCTAGACCCTGTCTTAGTTTGTTTTGTGTGCTGCCCTTTGGGAAGACCCAGCAATTATTTAAGTTGCCTGCAATGGTTTAAATGTCCCCTCCAAGTTCATGGGTGAAATGTAATTGCCACTGTAAGAGACTCTAAGGAACCATTAGAGTTAGACTGAGATACTGTAAAAGGCTGTATTTGGCCCTGTTTTCCCAGTTAGCCTCTTACCTTCTGTCACCAAATGTTGTGATTTTTCTTTGGGCTGCCAACCAGCTCCCAAATAAGGACATGGAGACTTATTATTAATTATGAATGCTTGGCCTTAGCTTAGGCTTGTCCTACTAGCTCTTTTTTTTTCTTTAGAAACAATCATTTTACATATCAATCCCCAGTTCCCTCTCCCTCCCATTCTCCCATGCTCCCTACCAACTCCCCCAACCCACCCCTCACCTGTTCCCCAAGTATGGTGAGGCCTTCTATGGGGGAATCATCAAAGTCTGTCACATCATTTGGGGGAGGACCTAGGCTCCCCTCCGTGTATCTGGGCTGGAATAGTATCTCTCCATAAGGAATGGGCTACTAGCTCTTTTAACTTAACCTGTTTCTACTCTTCTACATTTTTGCCTTTTACCTTTTTTTCATTCTATATGTCTTAGTTTCCTGCTTCCTCCATGTCTGTCTGTCTGGCCTCTGGCATCTCTTTCTTTCTTTCTTTTTTCAAGCCTAAATTCCTCCTCCTACTTACTCACCTATACCTCCTCTCTTGCTATTGGCCATTCAGCTTTTTATTAGGCCAATCAGGTGTCTTAAGCAGGCAAGGTAAAACGGCAACACATGTTTACATAATTAAACAAATGCAACACATCTTTACATAGTTAAATATTCCACAACATGAGCAAATGCAACAGCCAGATGACATAGGAGGAAGTCTGTCTCTATATGTTAGCACCTAGATGCTTGACTTCCTGTGGCCTAGAACTGTGAGCTAGAGTGCTTCTGTTCTTAACTAATTATATTTTAGCTGGGTGTGGTGTTGCACACTTGGGAAGCAGAGGTAGGACCTGTTCAAGGCCATCCTGGTCTGTATAGTAAGTTCCAGGCCTGACAGGGCTACCAAGTGGTGTGAAATACAAAACAAAAACATTACCCATTACTAGAATGGTATGATTAAAATTTCTATTAGATGGGGCATACACACCTGAACTGTTAACAGATACTCTATTCCATTTGTAGCATGAAATGCAGAGGTAAGTAACTTCTTATCAAGAGAATTCATTATTGTGACCTCAGTATGCTACTTAGCTGCCTCTTTCTGCTTCTAGGTATCCTTTGCCCAGTCATCCTTCTGCACCTCCTGAGCATCTCAAAGAACCTTTGGTGTACATGAGGAAAGCACAGGTTGGCCACTGTTCATTTTGTTTTCTTTTTCCATGCTAAGTAGTACAATGCAGAGTATATTCTTATTGTCACAATATATATATTATTCATATAAAGAACCTCTTAAACAATGTTAATAATTCTTGTACACTCTGCCTTTTTATTTTTAGTAATCAAAGTTCATACCCGTTTAACTATAGTAACCATGGCAAACATTACATAGAAAAAGGTCATGAGCCATACTGGCTTGAAGTTTGAAATATGGTAAAACCTTGTATAATAATCTACTCCTCATGCCATACTATGACACAGAGCATGGGGGCCAACTGATGGTGCACTGAAGCTATTGAAGCTGTGAGCCATAAACTTTCCCCTCCTCTTGAGTTTTTCTCCCAGATATTTGTCATGGTGAGGAAAAGCCTAATAGAAAATTGGTACCAGGAGTAGGGTCATTATTATGACAAATCCTGACCATGTGGTTTATGTTGAGAACCAGGAGAACAAGGAAAAAAAAAGACTTACAAATATTGAAGTTTGGTCAGAAAAGTCTATATAAAATTGGGATTGAGGAAGGTTTGTTTTCTGAAAAGATCCACACTATTTAAAAGAAGCCAGAGATTTGAAATTGAGACAATAGAACAGACATCTTGAAGACATCTCAGACTAACAAAGGGGAGTTTTACAAGTGTTTTTTAGCTGTGTGCAAAGCAAATTAAGATTAATATTAAGAACTGTATTGTGTACACCAGAAAAATGGCCACAAATGAAACGGACAAGTTAAACACTGGTGGGGTTGTGGCAGCCTGAATTCAAATGCTGTCACAAGTGGGGTAAAGTCTGACAGTTTCATACAAAAATAAATGTGTGTATTGTGACCCACAAACTCCATCTCTTTTCCATTGCCCAAAGTATAAAAAATAACTGTCCATGAAAAGACTTTTAGAAAGATGTTCATAAAGGTCTTATTCCTATGAATTCCAAACTAGAAATCATATGGCTGTCTATCAGTTAGAAAGTAATTAATAGCTATGTTCTTTGCATAGTTGGACTATCATTCAAAATGAAGAAAAACAAGCTATCAATATATACTGTAATATAAATAAATTATATTGAGTCATATTAACCTTACATAAAGTATGTATGTTAGGTCTGCAGTGGTGGCTCAGCAGTTAAGAGCACTGGCTGCTCTTTCTAAGTTTCTGAGTTCAATTCCCAGCAACCCCATGGTGGCTCACAATCATGTTAGTGGGATCTAATGCCCTCTACTGGCATAAGGTTGTACACGCAGATAGAGTACTCATATACATAAATAAATAAATCTCGAGAAAAGAATGTATGCTATGTTATTCCATTGATAAGTTCTAGGATGGGGGAGTTAATCTATAATAGGAGAGGTTCAGAATAAGGAAGTTTGAGGGTTGAAGTTTATAGGAAGTCGTATGAGGGAATTTGCTATGGAGGGTGATCATGTCCAGTGTCTTGGTTATGGTTTAGGAGGTACATGTGTATCTATTTGTTTGAGCCTCATGGAATGACACACTTAGATTATACATTTTCTCTTATGCAAATTAGCTCCATGCTGAGATAAAAATGGTAAGTATTAATGGTGGTATGTATGAGTATCCAATTGAATTATTTTTCACCTTTTATGTGAGAAAATTTTTATAATCTATAAGTGGTGAGAAAAATAAGTCAATGGCACAGGAAAATGATAAGAATTAATAAAATATATTTTTGGAGATAGTCGTGCTTAACCATTTACATATTGTCTCTGACCCTTTTTTGCACTGCAGGAGTTAAATAGTTGCAGTGGAGACCCTGTCTGTTGTATTTACCTGTCCTTTCCCTTCAGATGTTTACTGCCTTAAGGGCATCCATCCTCAGCACCTGCATAGTGCCTAGCCTACAGAACTTCTGAATAGGTGTCTGTTGAGTCAATTGATTCCTTAACCTGGCCATATGAAATATCTCTACTAGCTAGGCCTTTGTCACTGTGGTAAGTGCCCAAGAGAACCACTTCAGGAGGACAGATTTATTCTGGGTCACAGTTAAAGAGGTGCAGTTTATGATCTTGCAGCTCCATTGTTTCTGGGCAGTGTTGGAGCAGAATATTATATTGGAAGGGTGCAGAGGAGCAGATCTGTTTATCTCTTGGTGGACAAAAACCACAGGGAAGAAGGGCCAGGGATGAGATACATCTTTACAGAACAGATTCCTAGTGACTCAGTTCCACCAACTATTCTCTGTCTCCCACTCTCACCACTTCCCAGTAAATACTGTAATATTATGCATTTCTAAGGATATAATCCATCAATTGTCTCAGAGGTCTTATGATCCATTCACTTTTCAGATTCAATTAGCTGACAACAATAAAAGCTCCCACCCATACATGAGCTTATGGAGGTATCTCATATTTAAACTGTAATATTTCACTCCCTAGCTCCTAAAAGTTCATGTTCTTCTCATACGGTGAGATGGCATTTAGTTCATCTTCAATAGTCCCAAAATTTTTAACAGTTCTATTATTCTCAAACATCTCAGTCGAGATCGTCTTCTAAGACTTAGGGAAAACTCTTTTCTGTAAACACTTCAAATTAAAAAAAAAAAAAAGCAAGTTACGTATTACACAATGGTACAAAGTGAACAATTCTATTCCAAAAGATAGGTAATTGGGTCATGGAAAGGAAGGATCAAACCAAAGCAAGACTGCAACCCAGCAGAATATTAATCTGTCATCTGGGACACATGGTAGTTTGATGTGAACTCCAGAAGGTTTGGGCAGCCCCTGCCCCACCACCACCACCACCACAGATGGTTCTAACTGCAGTCCACATAGCTTCTCTCCTATGCTGGCTTTTCTCACAGCCTGCAGCTTTTCTCTCAGACATTCTGTATTTCTGGCATCAGTTTATTTATACTTATTTGAAATCTAGGTGGATGCCTCCATGACACCAGAGCTCTTACATATTGCATGCTTGCAAAGCCAGTGTCTCATGGATGAGAACAAGGTTGCCTCAACTTGAGTGATAACCAGGCTTCTCTGAACTGTACCTGCAGCAGTCTCTGCCTCCCTGGCCCACTCAGCACAGTGACTCTGTGCCAGCAGGGCACCCTGTCTCCTCTATTCTCATAAGAAAAGTCTTTTAAAGAATGTACCTTGTGTAATTTTGAGTTTGCAATGGGTGGGCTCTAGCCAGTTCCTGAGATGTCTTCAGGATGTCTGTTCTATTGTCTCAATTTCAAATCTCTGGCTTCTTTTAAATAGTGTGGATCTTTTCAGAAAACAAACCTTCCTCAATCCCAATTTTATATAGACTTTTCTGACCAAACTTCAATATTTGTAAGTCTTTTTTTTTCCCTTGTTCTCCTGGTTCTCAACATAAACCACATGGTCAAGATTTGTCATAATAATGACCCTACTCCTGGTACCAATTTTCTATTAGGCTTTTCCTCACCATGACAAATATCTGGGAGAAAAACTCAAGAGGAGGGGAAAGTTTATGGCTCACAGCTTCAATAGCTTCAGTGCACCATCAGTTGGCCCCCATGCTCTGTGTCATAGTAAGGCAGAAGTCTGTTGAGGAACGGATAAAGATAAGGGATAGAGGACAAGATCTAGAGGACATCTTTATAGGGTGTGTCCCTGGAACCTAATTTCTCCCAGTAGGCCTCACCTTCTATTTTTCACTATCTTCTAATAATGAAATTATATTACAAATCCATCAGTAGTTTAACTCATTAAGTCAGAACCCTCAGCATCTAACCACTTCTCCAAACACCATTGACTGAAAGTTAATACATAGCTTGTGGAGGAACACTTTTCTAGTCAAACCATAAGAATAGTCTTCTAGTTAATGTCAGTTTTTCATCCTATATTTGCTGTCCAGAGGAAAGCCGGTTCAGTTCATTGTCCTGTTGAGCAATTCTGTTCAGTTAGACCTCACAAATACCATTTTATCATGTCCCTTCTTATGCCTCATAATATTTTACTCCTTCAGACTTATTTTGTTTGCTGTTCAAGTCCATAGCCTAATGGTACTTCTACTGTCCATTGTTTCCTCTCAAACTGTTGACAAGTTTGGACCAGGAAGTCACTTAATTCTGTTAATCTTTAGTTCAAAATCGTTAGTTATTTAATTTTAATGGATTAATTTTCTGCCTGCTGGTAATTTAATATTTTTTTTTTTACTTAGTATCTGCCTTCCACTTAGATTGTACCAAAACTTCACCATGCTTAGATGACTTACAATTCTACTAGTGTCTCACTCATCTTTAGTGTCTATCCCTTACTTGGTTGAGTATGTTGTGATTGTCTCCTAAATTAAGCCATTTAGTACACCTCTGTGATTCCCAGTTGCCTAGAAGTGCAGCTCCTAATCTAGAGCCCAGGAACACTGCTATCCAAACTGCATACTGTTGATGTCACAGCACTATGGACGGTATCTGATGAGGAGTGAGAAGTAACCGGTGTTTGTGGAGTGAATTAATGAGGGCAAGTATCACGGTAATGGTGTTTTCTTATTAGCAGAGATATTGCTAGTGAAAAACAATGATAGGTTGTTCCTTTTGTTTCAGGGAAGCTGGGAAAAAAGAATATTGAAGAGTTTAAATAGTATGTGCACTGAACTGAGTATCCCATTGGCACGAAAGGTAAATTTAACATTTTTCTGCTGAAGTACCTTTATTGTGAGTTAACTCTTGAGAAATGTCACAGAGTTATACAACTGTTAGGCTTGTTATTCTTCATTTACTGGTGTGTCAGGTTTTTTTTTTTTAAATGAAAACCTGAAAGTGTCAATTGTTTGTTTATTTCTTATACATATTCTTACTTTATATACTTTAGTGTTGTAATAATGAACCTATGCTATAGCCTACTTAGACATTTGGTTGCTGTCTTAGTTACTTTACTATTGCTGTGCTAGAACAGTATGGCCAAGGCAGATTATAGAAAGAAGGGTTTATTTGGAGCTAACTGTTTGAGAAGGATGGAGGCCATCACTGTCACAGTGGGGAAGCATGGCAGGAGGCAGGCACAGTGACTAGAGCAGCAGCTAGAGAGCACAAGCGGGGATCAGAGAGCAAACTGGGAATGGTGCAAACCTTTGAACTCACAAAGCACACCCCCAGTGACATACTTTGTTCAATAAGGCCACACCCCTTAACCTCCCCAAATAGCACCACCAGTGGGGGGTGGGGCGACCTAGTATTCCAATGCCTGAGACTTTGGGGGAATCACATTCAAACCACCACAGCTGTAAAGAGTGAGTATACTAAGATTTTAATGACATTTAGTCTTATCGCACATGCTGAGTCAGTGAGCACAATAGCACTATCCCTTGAAGTCCATGATGACTGCAATCTTGCACGTGGCAATATGATAACATCTTCCGCTATTAGTATAAGGAATGAAAAGAATAATTTTCTGTGTCTCTGTAGACATGGACTTCTATTTAGATCTAGTTCTTACTTACTGGTGGGAGAGGTAGGAAATGAGAGAAAAATCTCCAGGAGGCTGTTCTAGATACTGTGGCTACTCACAAGGAGAGAGAATGAACTTCCCTTTGATTCCTTCTCTGCCCACCAGTTACCCTCTGTTGAATAGATCAGGAGCATATACTTTTGATGAGAGCCAAGGAGAAGCCACTGAAGGCACCACCAGGGTAGTGTCTAGAAAAATCTTAGGTGAAAACCTGCCTGAATGTGTAGTATATGATACTGTCTTGTACATCAGAAGATTATGCTACTGAGTCAGTCCTATTTCTTCAGCCAGTCCCCTTGCCATGCATTTCTAAGCTTGCTGATGGAGTGAGAAGTGTAGGATATGGCTAAGGAGCAGGTAGTTCTGTGTGAGATTTACTGGACAGTCTGGCCATTTACCCTCTCTTCTCAGACTCATGGGCATCAAGTTCTAACTAAGCTATCAAGACTAGATATGTTTCAGTCTTTTTAAAAGTTAAGCATAATTCCAAAGAAGTTTTCCATTTTTAATTTATCTCTCATATGCTATGGTACCTTATTTAAACTTTTGAATAAGTTATTGATTTTGGAACTAATTAAAAACATTTTTAGAGACCGGTTGGAGAACAGAAAGAACTTCTCAATAAATGGAATGAAATGGGAACTGATGAGCCAGGTATGTGAAGGATTTCCTGCAGGATTTGTCATTTGACTGAATACTTCTTTTGGCGGCATAGCAACCTTCCACCTCCTCTAGTCCCCTGATGTCTGATTTGCTGGTTTCTAGTTTGCAGCTTAAGAATTCCCAATTTTAGACTGTTTTCCATTGCTTAGACTACATTAAATCATTTATCTTTTTTTCAAATAGCATTTTAAACATTTTTTTTATCAAAAAGTATATAATCTTTTTGTCCCCTCTTCTGTGATGTTCCATGAGCCTTAGGGGTAGGAGTTTTGTTAATAGATTTATCAACTGGGGGAAAGACTATAAAAGACAGAGGACCAGGAAATCTGCTGTGAGATTATGTCTTCTATATAGAACAGGGAAGCTCTACCCATGAAATGACAACAACATGGCAGGGTGGCCTAAACAAGACCTGTTTAAGGACAACACCAGTTGCTATGCCAACATGAAGCCCCAGCTCCTGGAGGAAGGGCTGTAGACAGTTAATATCTGCTGAGAGAGGGAAAACTAGCCTTACCTGGGAATGTTCTATGTAGTTGTCCAGTTCCAAGTGTTGACCCCTAAAAACATGCTATGAGCAACCCTGAATGGACTTGGTTGGTTGCATTTATAGGTCTATATATATGTATACATGGAACAACAATAATTAAAGAAAAAAGACAAAGAGATCACACATGAAATCAGAAGGAGGGATTGGAGCTAGAGAGAGTGGGACAGTGGCAGAAGGGGGGGATGGTAATAGGGGATTGAAGTAATCAGAGTATGTTATATCCATGAAATGTCATAATGAAACCTGTCAGTCTGTACAGTTAGTAAATGCTGATGAAAATGAAAAAAAAAAAAAACACAAGTAAATAAAATTCATTCAATAGCTTCCTGCGACTTGTCTTTTAGTTAAGGTAGGAATTCTGTAAGCTTAATTATGCTGAGGTGTTGAGGAGATTGACTAATGAAAAGTAGATGTCAAGAATTAAAGTGTTTTTCAGTTGTATTTTGTCTCATGTTAAACTTAATATACAGTCAGATTTATAAACATATAATGAGTACAACTGTATATTGTAAATGCCGACAATCATGTGGACAGATGCATACGTGGCTGCCCCCACCTTGTGGCCCCACTACTAGAGATAGTCGGGGAACCAGGCAAGCAACATGCCATGACAGGAAATGTTGCACCTGAGATCAGAAAAGTTCAACTCAAGCAGGAATTCACTGAGAATGCATTATTTGTAGTCTAAATACTTTGAAAACTCTCATATAGAATCTTTATATGAAACTCTTAAGATCTACAATGTTGTTTAAGTTGTCAAGGACTGTGCTTTTATATCTGTTCTCCCAGTGTTTCACACAATGTACAACAAATAATCAATACACAATAAACATGTGATCCATTTCTATAGAAACATAGTAAAGTAACAATGACATTAATCTTTGTTGATTACTTCATGTATTACCTAAAATTTTGTTTTACTCTAACCCATTCCAGATTTAAGCCTTTTTCGACCTGTCTATGCACCTAAGGACTTTCTTGAGGTATGTTTTATTAGATAGATATGTAAATATGATGGGTGTAGTTGAAGGCTGTACATGACCCCAAATGGCTTTTTTAACAAGAATTATGTTTGGCAAGGCAGATCTATACAAAAAAACTAACCAGGCTTGTTGTTTATTTTTAAAGGTATTAATTAATCTCCGCAACCCAAATTATGAAAATGGTGATTCTCTTAGTTTTAGGACTCATTTGGGTTTAATTCAAGTTCCTCTGAAAGTAAAAGACATCCCTGAATTGGTAAGTATAGACATTTAAGAATAAATTAATGTATATTTAATGATAACCACTAGAAAAATATTTTAGTGCAGCATGTATCTATTGTAATAAGAGTCGTGGACACATTAAATATATTAAAGTGATATCTTTATAGAAAGACCAGGTTTGTATGTGGACATCAAAGCAAGCTTACATTGACCTATAAATGCTTTGCCCATTATTTCAATAAAGAGTAAATATTTATGAGGGAGTTTGTGGGGACTCAGGTTCTGCTGTGTGACTATAAAAATGATTGGAACAAATCATAAGATTTATAAAAGGATATTTAAGAAAGTTTATGTTATTTAGTTTAACCTATTTTCCTGGAGTCCAGAACCTGATGAGACACTAAGAGAAACTGCGTTTGCTCTGGAACCCATCGTTTCAGGGAGACATTGGCTTGAAAATGAATTGTGAGAAGATTTCCTGATGGTGGAGCTAAGCTGTCATCACTCCTTCTTTGTCACTCATCCCAAAATAATAAAGGACACAGCATTGTCACTGTGTCTGTGGTGACACTCCGAACTTTAGATATGGAGAGGTCATGATAAATAACCTAAAGCCAGAGAGATCGGTGACGATGGGAAGTATGGATGAGAGGTGCGCAGGAACCACTCCGTCTGTCAGCTCCACATTTTCCACTCTGTGATCTGCTGCATTGTGCTAGATCTGGACTGTTTGCCTTTTGCCAGCCTGTCTCATGTTATCTTGTCAATAACAAGGGGCATTTGAAAGGCTCCAGCAGGAGAAAGTTGTCTCCTTTCTGGTTCCTATGTATAATAATGTCTGCGGCCCAGCCTGCTCCTCTTGGCAAGGCTCCAGCAGGAGAAAGTTGTCTCCTTTCTGGTTCCTATGTATAATAACGTCTGCAGCCCAGCCTGCTCCTCTTGGCATTTTTTTTTTTCACCACCCTTGGACTTGCTCATGGTCTTGAGCACTGGGAGGACCCTTTTCTGATTTCATACTTCCTTTTCATTTGTGCTCCTAGAAGCCACAGTTGCTTTCTGCATTTGCTACTTCCATTTTTCCCTCTTGACATCTGTGGCATGTCTTTTCTTTCTTAAGTAGAAATTGACTGATAAAAGAAGCAACATGGCTTTCTTCATAGAACCTGGGGAAGGCTCAAGGATCAGAGACACCATGAGTACTTGCCATGGCAACCTATAGGGCCAAGAATGGAGCTTCTGTGGAAGACTATGGGGTGGAGCTCCTTCCCACTATTCAGAGTCACATGACTCTCCTCACCTCCATAGGAGTCCAGAGGCACATTCACCAGAGATACAAACTCAGAGTAGCTATTAACTCAGAGCCTTCTGATGTACAGTAGGGATCATTAATAGGAACCAAGTGAAAATCTATGGAATAGTGAAGACTGTTATTCTGATTTCTGCTGCTATGCTTTCTGACTCTCTACCAACTCTCAAATAGCAGAAAAGCTAGTGAATATATGGAGAATAAAGCAGGGTTGCCTGGCTACAGAGTTGTCTAACAGAGTGATCCATCACACTCTAAGGAAGTCTTTGCTGCATGGTTCCCAATCATATTTTTTATTGCTTTATTTCCAGACTTGAATGATGAACTTACAATCCCCAGATATTGAAACTACTGCAATTTGACATCATGGGGGGTGGTGGGGGGGCAATGAACTCAGAGACCAAAAGAGGAGGACAAAGTGCGAAAATGAGAATGAATGAGTATGAGAATATGAATTTATAGAATGACCACTAGTAGTTGTTGTGGATGTTTGAGGTTTGTGCTTAGGGTGACAAGAAGAGAATAGGCCACAACTTGGCCCCATAATAACTTTGATTTATACAATGATACAAGACAAAAAACAGACACGCCAGTGTTCCAGCAAAAATATATTCTCTTGATAGCCTCAAGCTCTGGCTCCAATCTTGGACTGGTCTATTTCGGATCTTGGTAGAGTTTTTTCCTTTCTATTTTTTCTCTTCATTGCCATTTCTGGAATTTCCCCTTCTCTGTGGTTAGAATAGTATGTATTGGGCAAAATAGCGATTTGTAGCTTCTACCCTGTGGCCTATGATCTCCAAGTCACAGATTTTGACAAGGATTATAGTACCAGGTGTGCTAGTCCCTCTTGTGGAGCTGGCTTCAAGTCCAATCAGAAAGTGGTTAGTTACAGCACAGCAGTCATGCCTCTATTGCACCAGTGGGCACATCTTGCCTGCTAGGTCAGTACTGTAGCATGTGGCAGTACGGTTACTCCTCATCTGACTAGTCCCTGCCACCCTTATACTGTGTCAGGATGATTATGATTCCAAATGATTGGATTATGTAGACTCTTCCATGTTACAAGGAAGATCTACTAACTCTAAAGAGAGCTTGTGACTCATTTAGTGGAGCAGCCAGATAGGACTAGACACTGGTGTTCAGTATTTGCTGGGTCAGGTGCTTTGATAGATACCAGGGAGCTCAGTACTAAGAGATAGTCCTCATTTTCAAAGGACTGCAGGCTGTTAGGGAATGGACAGTAGAAGAACAATTATAGTATAGTACAGTATACTGCAGTGTAGTATAGTATGCTATAGTATAGTATACTACAGTATAGTATAATGTATACTACAGTATAGTGTAGTGTAGTGTAATGTAGTGTAGTATAGGTAAAGACTGAGAAAAGATAATATATTAAGAGTTCCTTTTGTCAGCCTGGAATAGCAAGGAAGGCTTCTGAGGAGGCACTCTCCTTATGATCAATTTTGATGTAAATCTGAGAATTTGCTAATGTTGAATGAAAAATAGTCCAGAGCAATGACATGGAAAATGGACATCCAGATCTCCCATGTCATAAGTAAAACTCTTCATTTTGATTACAGAACCTAGTATTGAAGTGTATATTGGCTGTAGATTTGTGATTTAGTATCCAGGCCAATGCTGTTCTTAAACTGAAAATATAATTATTAACAGTAATGATTCAGTGGAAGAAGAGTCTGAAAATACATGGAAGACAGTGGTTAAAGTGAAACAATTATGAAACTAACCTACATAACAGATAATTTAGAAAAATCAAAATTAGCTGAATTTTAAAAGAGAGGAAGTATGGTGCACCAATCAGAATAGTTATAATGTGCTGAAGCAACTATTAATAGAAATATTTAATTATTCATAGAATAAAATAACACAATTAATTTTCTGGTTTACAAAATACAGCTGTGATTATTGTCCTACAACATTACCAGATAAGTGAAGGAAGTCTTTTTTTGTGAAGGAAGTCTTATGAATAATTCTAATTCATCCTTGTTTTAACTGAACACTTAATAATTCAGTTTAGTACAAAAGTGAACTTGTTTTGGATATTTGTGGTTTGGCTTCTTAACATTAGAGTAAGATGCCAAATCATAGAAAACACAAAGAGAAGTTTATGTTGATAATTTTGGACAATGATGTTAGACAAAATTGCTAAGTATGATGTGAATGAGTGAGTAACTCTGTGTGTGTGTGGGGGGGGCGTGTGCTGTGTGTATGTGCTTGTTTGCTTGCTTGCTTGCTTGCTTTAGAAAAGGTTAGAGCATTACTATGCCTTTACCCAGAAGGATAGGTATCATTTCTTACTATGCTGATTTGTGGGTTATCTAAAGAGGCAAAATCAAGAAAAAAAATTTTTTGAAGAATTCCGTGCCAGCATTCATACTGACCAAAGTGTTCAAAGTAAAAAATTGTAGAAAGGAAAAAGTGAGGAAAGAAAAATATTACCAAGGGTCCTGCACTGGGAAAATACTGTATGTTTAAGTTTCTTTTCTCATCATGTATCCTAAATGCTATGGGCTTTCTAGTCGCGTTTATTTCACGTGAAAATGATGCATAGCCATATCGGCAGTACACAGCTGTGGTTATTCTGTTCCTAAATATCTATTACCGTTCTTTTAGTTTTTAATATTTGAATGAAATAGATTAATTTTACATGTGATTTTTCACTTGTTAATATTTAGATAGAAGTAACCTTTTCACATGCACCAGAGTCTGAGATGTGTGTTAATTCTTCATATGTTATTTTTCAGAAAGAATGCTTTGTAGAACTTGGCTTAAGTACAGGACAACTGGGTATAGATGATTCTACACAAGTGCCTCCTGGTAAGTATTTCCCATGTGACATTTAATTAGTGACAAGTAATAGCTTCCAAGTATACAAGTCATCTGTATGCAGAACAGTTGATTACAAAGTGGACACACTGTGTGACCTCCAACCCAATCAAGAAACAGCATATTGCAATATCTTAGAAGCCCCCTGGGCACAGTTACAGACTCTGCCATCCCCACAGTAACAGCTATTCTGCTTGAAATACCATAGGGCTAATGTGGCCTGTATGGAATTATTTGCTGCACCCACTGGTATCTGATTTCTTCAGCTTATTGTTGTCCATAAGATGCACAGTGTTATGGAAAAAATTATTCGTTTCAATTTTTGTATTGTGACCCATATGTAAATACTGCTGTCTATTTTGTCTGTTGTTGATGGCCATGTGAATTATTCCCACCCTTTGGTTATCATCAGTTGTCTTGCTGTGAATATTCTTTGACAGGCTATTTGATGTGTATGTACATTTTAGGGCACATACCTGAGAGTGAGCTGATAGTTATCATATCATGTGCACATGATGTCAGTAGATAGTGCCAGTTTTCCCAAGTTATCATGCCAACTTACACTCTCTCCAACTTTGGATGAGGAGTTCATTTGCTCCATGCTTTTTTTCATTTAAAATGCTGTCTTTGTTTGTTTGTTTGTTTCTACCACTGTGGTGGCTCCATGTTTTCTATTGGTTCTAATTGTTTTCTCTGAAGACTAATGTGGTCAAGCAGCTTTATGTTTTCTGGTTTTTATAGCATTGTTGGTGGCTGTTGGTAAAGAACCTTTACAAACTCTTGGCTTATTTGTGTCTGGCAGTTGCTTCTTTCTGTAAGGCTGTTTTTCTTCATAAATTCTGGATACAAGCCCTCCACCACATACATGTTACAAATACATTCAGAAACTTACCTTGTCAAGACTTCCTTGATGGTGTTCTTTTCTTTCTTTTTTGTGAACAGAAGTTTATTTTAATATGCCATAGTTAATGAGTCTGTTTGCATTATGATTGATACTTTTTAAAAAACAACTGTTTCAGTGAAAGCTTTTAAAAAAGCATTCACAATGCCGAGCTTCTACCTACAAGAGGCAGACTTAGAGATTTGTTGCCCAAGTGGAGTGGAAATTGATTTTATGAATGAAACTGCTCACAAGGTTGTTGGGTTTTTAACTCAGAGAATTTTTTCTTGAGAATTTTTTAACTAATTATTTTGTATTATTCATGTGGTGTGTGTGTGGGTGTGTGTGCGTGTGTGTGTGTGTGTGTGTGTGTGTGTGTGTGTGTGTGTGTGTGTCCTTTCGTATGTATGTGTCTATGTGATTGTGTGAGTGTACTTCTGTATGTATGTCTGTGATTGTGTGTATGATTCTCTGTGTGTGTGTCTGTGATTGTGTGTGTGCTTCTGTATGTGTCTGTGTGATTGTGTGACTGTGTGAGGGTGCCCAGAGAACCAGAAGTAGGCCCTGAATCCCTTGGAGTTGGAGTTGTAGGTGGTTGTGAGCAGCTGGCATGGACCCTGTCAGCAGGTCTCAGGCCTCTTGAGAGAGTAGCAACAGCTCCTAACCCTGGGCCATCTCTCCAGCCACTGAAATGATATTCAAAATAATCTTTTTTTGATTTTTTTCAAAATGTACAGAAATATTTTTATATAAGAATATATTCTGTTTTAATAAAAGAAAACTTAATTTTTCCATTTTTGTTTCCCAATTAAATGTGTGAACTCACTTTTAATAACTTAGGTAAAGCCTTTCTATATTTGGGCTGCTTATTCCAGTTTTCAGAGTAGCGTGGTGGTGTGTGGTAGTGTGTGGTAGTATGTACCTTGCACTTAGAAGGCTGAGGCAGTGGGATTGTGAGCTTGAGGTCACCCCAGAATACTTAGTGGGATTAAGACCAGCCTGGGCAGAAAGATCTGCCTCAAATAAACAAACAAACAAATGGGTTCTTATGTTTTCTACATAGTTATCCAACTTTAAAAATAATTAAAGTATCAGTACTAGGGAAACATAATTCTTACTCTAAATGTAGTTGATCATATTTGTGTCTAATAATTTTATTTTCTTTTAACATTTTTAGAACTTTTTGAAAATGAGCATGTGCGTATTGGGCAAAAAGGTAAGTTTAGTCAGGTTATTAAAATCTATAAAAAATGACACAGCATGAAATAGCCTCAGGTGAAATTTATTCTCTGTGAAGTGAAGCACCAGAGAGTCATAATATTTAACTGAGCAGGTAATCTAACAGGGATCTTTATTTAGAAGCAAATGCAGCATGTTAGCTGTCTCAGTCATTGTAAATTAAGCACACAGCTGGCTCACTGAACAGGAAGCTCAGACCCACGTTCGTCAGCCACATGAGAGGTGAGCCTCTGCAGCAGAATTTCATCTCCCAATCAAGAAGGCAGCTTCCTCTTTAATGCACCCACACACCTCTCATTAGCACTAATGAGGGCATGCTCCTGCATCAGGAGAAGATGGAGCTCTTAAATCCTGCTGACGGCTTGCAATGACAAGGCTTAATGAGCTTGGCAGGTCTCCATATCCTGGGGAATGATTGCCAATCTTTTGGGCACGCTTTTCTTTTCTTTTCTTTTCTTTAAATCCTTTGTTGTCTTTAAGGTGCAAAGAAGGCTGTGTGTCAGACTGAACCATCCATGACAATCACTGTCCCTACTTCAGTTTTTCAGTCATCTTAATTTCAAAGACCTCTTTTGTAGGCTTGGCCTCTTTTAGTAAACATTCAGATAAAGAATGCTCTTTTAAAAATTATTATGCTCTCCTTGTCTCTTTTCATCATGTCTTTTTTCATTTAGTGGGAAATTTCCTCTTCCCTTTAAAGGATACAAGAAAACGATGCTGTTAGACAGACAGTGGATGCATAATATGCCTCATATTTTGTTTGTTTGCTTTTATCTTGTGGGCTCTTTATTTTCAGGTTGAATAGCTCATATTTTAATTAAAGAAAAAAGAAATGAAAACAAAATGATACTATACTGATTTTTTTATATGGATGCTTAGTGATAATTTTGTTGAAAGTTTATTAGTCTTTGTTGTGTGTTTATTTTCCAATCTGACCTTTTAAAACAGTTTTTCAGAGCTAAGAAGTCATTTGCTAGAATGGGTGCCTTAATTTCTTACACATTATTCTTGGGCAGGATATTGCTCGTACAATGCTGCTTCCAAATAACAGAAGCTCCATGACTTGGTGATATGCATTTATGAAAATTATGGGTTCTGAAGATGAGGCTCTGCTTGGTGACAGAAGCCAGACGCTTGTCTCATCAGTAGCTGTAGATATGTGGGAAAGCACAATAATCCAAAGGTGTCAGTGTGCATTTATGAAAATTATGGGTTCTGAAGATGAGGCTCTGCTTGGTGACACTTGTCTCATCAGTAGTTGTAGATATGTGGGAAAGCACAATAATCCAAAGGTGTCAGCATTGAAAGCTTTGGTCAGGCTGAGGAGAAGCTAAGGGAGAAAGACTTGAAGCCTTTGGGCTGTAGTAGGACCATCTCAAAACCCGGAGAGTGGAGAAAGAAACAGATAGATGCAGTTATGTTTCATACAGAGGCTGAAGTTTTGCTAATGAAAGATTTCTGAGCTGCTCTAACAGGATTATTGCATCCCTTTGACAGTTCTATTGCAGCAGGATAGCGCTGCTGCCCAGCAGTACATCCGACAAGGAAGTCCCACGGCACTGAGAGCTGAGCTCTGGGCACTCATTTTGAATATCTCCAGTCAACCTGAGGTAAGAAGCAAACAGGAGGGATCAAATTAAGTTGTTCAGTTTGTTTTCTAAATACTGTTTTTTTTTTCAAAGCAGAAAAGCAGTAAGTAGTTTGTTTTTCACCCCGCTTTTCATTTCCACTGTTGTTTTAAGGTAAGGCAGGGCTTACCACCGAATTTAGCCAGTACGCTCAACAGACACTTTTGTTAGTAAATACTGTGATCATGCATATATGCAGAAAAACAAAAAGTGAAAATTTAAGAACTCAAATCGGTGAAGATGTCACATATTGGGACGTTATAATAGCAAGTAATGAAGAAGAGCAGCTGAGAATGAATGAGTAAATTCCTTGTGATTTTTTTTATTTATTTGGTTGGGTTTTTTAAGGTAGGCTTTCATGTAGCCCATAGCATTAAAACTCACCTAGGTAGCTGAACCCGATGCTCTTGTCTCTGCTTCTGAAAGTGTTGGGATTATAGGCATGCACAACCACACTTGGGTTTTATGTTTACCTTTGAAATGCGTGCTATTCCCATGATTCTAAAATTTGACAGATAATGTGGGAATATTATTTTTCCAAATGATGATCATTTTTTCAGGAAATATAATGAATATTAAAGGAAGTGACCAAATCCTTAACTGATAGACCATGGATTTTTTTGTTTTTTAATGCTGGGCTTCGTGCATGCAAAGCAAGCGCTCTACCAACTGAGTTATATCCTCAGCCCAGGTCATAGCTTTAGTAATGAAAGCCTGCATAATACATTGACTTCTCCTAGAATATTCTCACTGTGTGTATGTATGTAGTCACCTATGTACAGTGGTTATATATATTTGTAAATTCACCCACTTAGAGATTTTTAATCATTGTCACACTGATAGTGTAACAGGTTCTAGGATTATATAAACCTGGCTTAAACTCAGAGTTCCTTCAACTTACTGAACACATATATCACTGAGCAAATTGCTTAAATTTCTTCAAGCCTCAGTTAACCTGTATGTAAATATAGGTAATAATATTTATATCACAGAATTGTGACAAATATACAAAAAGTAGCATATATAAGTCTATTATATAATAATGGACAAAAATGTGCCACTAATGGCAGTAGTCAATTAATATTACCTGTAATTATGTTACAAATTAATTGGAATTAATCATTCTGATAACAAAATAAAACATTAATGTAAATTATAAAAACTACATGTCTAACCCTTGCAAATTATGTTTAGTGTGTATGTGTATATATGTATGGTGTGAGTGTTATTAAGTCTGTCTGTGGACAGCACTATCAGAATCTTTTATTTGAAAGAATAAAGCTAAAGACTTATGCAGAGCAGTTACAGCATGAGATAGTGGTATCTTTTGGCAACCCTTTGGAGATAATTGTTTACAAAACAGATTTTGTTTTCTGTTTATATGCTCTTCTAGAAAACATAATTCTTCACTGGGTTTAAGTTTCCAGGTAACATGCCACCCCCACTACTGTAGAGTTAGATAAAATCTGTTCTCTGTGCAAAGGAATTGCTACCTTTTTCACAACCAAATTTAGGATTTTCAAAAAATATCCCCTTAATGACAGCTAAAGATTGTTTTTCTCAGTATTCCAAAATGATTTTTACATTTGAATTTTGAAATTGTAGCCATTTAAAATTTAAATGCCAAATATATCTAATATTTATAATTAGAAACCAGTATTTTCAGAAAAAAAATAGAAGTTTTCAAAATAACTGTTACACGTAATGCATTGAGGGTGGAGTAAGGAAAGGAAAAGGGGGAAGGAAATACTTTTTGATAAATAAATTTTCTGTCACTTAAACTACATATCTAGTTACAGACATACTTGGAAATTTAGACACATAAGTAGAACATTCAATTTTACTCCTCTAAATCTATGCTTTAGAAGTTTGGTTCAAATCATTGTACCATCTTTGAATATTTCCAGTACATGAAAGCTACTCTAAAATAAAATTTTATTGAGATGTTTTAGTGCAAAGACCTTGAACATAAAACTTTGAATTCTTGCTAGTTAATATAGTATATTCAATGGAAATTATTTAACCTATCGCTTCTTGGCCTTTTGGCTAAGATCAAGTGTAGAAAATTATTTAACTTTGACTTCTTGCTTTTCAAGAAAATAAGTAATATGTTTTAAAGGATTGCTTCATATGCTCATTTTCTATACATCTCCCTGTGTGCCACAAAGTATTTAGCAAATGTTATTTATATTTTAAATGCCCTTGATAGTAGTTTACAAACTAAAAACACAAGCTTTTCTCTGTTCTGTTTATTGATGAAACAGCAGACACTATATAAGGCTTTCTTTAGCGGTGTGTGTGTGCACGTGCGTGCGTGCGTCTGTCTGTCTGTCTGTCTGTCTGTCTGTCTGTCTGTGTAGGGATGCTGGGCATTAAACCCAGTACTTTATACTTGCTGGGATGGGTGAACTCCCCTCTCCACGTGGGTTTTAAGTTTTTGGTGGTCTATTTCTTCTCATTTATACACTTAGCTCCTCCAGCTCCCTTTCAGTTATCTCAGATTGACAGTCATGTCAGGTCTCTTCCGGGAGGTTCAGATAGGGCTGCCCCGTAATCTGATGCACATGAATATCTCCAAAGCACCTCAGGTTCAAGATGTCTCAGTTCTCCTGAAGTCTTTGTTTATTTTGTATGACTGTCCATCAAATTGCCCCAAATGAAAGGCTAGTGTCACTCTTTTCTTTCCACCTGAATCTCATATCATATTCACCTGTAATTCCCTCTTGACTCAGTTCCTCCATGTGTTTGAAATTCATGTATTTCTCTCTGTACATATTTCTCCCATTCATATTATCTTCTCGTGCCTGAATTCAAACAGTCTGGCTTCCAGCATGCAGCCTTGTTCCCTACAAATGCTTTCAAACATCCTTTCTCTAATAATGACATCTGCTATCACTGCCTCGTCCCCTACCCCGGCACTGTCTTTTTTTCCAGACAGGCTTTTTCTGTGTAGCCCTGACTGCACTGGACCTCATTCTATAGACCTGACTTGGCATAAACTCAGAGATGCACCTGCCTCTGCCTCCCGAGTGGTGTCACTACTACCAGACTATCTCTGCCCTTGTAAACCTCTTCTTTAAGATTCCTTAACACACCTATTTCTCTCTGATCTTTGCACCTGTCCCATATGCCAAAGAAAGAAACATTTGCATGCACCCCCACCCCCGCCATTACAGGATGTGGTACTCCAAGTCTGTTATGTCCTTTTCTCCAGAAAGCCTGCCTGGCACCCGCATTGACATTAGGGCTTTCTCACTAGTGACCTAACCAACAAATGTGTATTTAGTACTGTCTGTTCTGAGTGCTGTGGCAAAAGAAAAAAAACCATACCTAGCGTACAAAAGATGGCCAGGAAATATGTGTTGAATTACTGGATCCTAACTTATTTTAAAACTTTTACTATTTTTAAAATTTTGTGTGTGAATGGGTGTTTTGTCTGCATGTATGTCTGTGTACCAGATGCATGCAGTGTGCTGGAAGACCAAAAGAAAGCCTTGGATCCCCTGGCACTGGAGTTTACAGCCTGGTGATTGAACCAGAGTCCTCTGGAAGAGTAGCAAGTGCTCCTAAGTGCTGAGGTATTCCTGCAAACTCCAATTTATTTAATGTTTGAGAAGTCTAATGACAGACATATTCATCAAGAATTAGTATGGCTATCATTATGGCTATCAAGTCTTAGAGAATGTTGTCCAAGTGAGGTGAGCAAACACTACTGCAGAAAAGAGTTGTGTTTCAGTGCAGACATCCCTTGGCATAGCCCTGACATCCTCTCTGTTCTAAGAATAAAAATAAAGTGTAGATTCTGTGTCTTTTCTAGCTGTCTCCCGATCCTCTTTCCTTTCAAAACTGCATCTTAAACAAAAGTCTGCGCTGTACTGAATTTCATGAATGACTTACATTAACTAATAAAATGAATTACTTTATTTAATAAGTTACTCAGTTACTCAGTTACTCAGACTATGCATAGCAGCAAATATCCTACACAAGTCTCCAGGGAGCAGGGGACATACTTTAATCCTTGTAACTGCTGTAGTTACAAGGAATAATCTAGGTCTTCATTTTAATTTATCTTTTCCTTTAACTTGACTTTTTCTGTTTTCATGGGAGAGTAGGACTTCTTGGAAGGCCTCTCCTACTGCTCTGAGGTAGCAGACAGCCTTAAAACTGGTTTAATAGATGTATTTAAATCTTAAAGAATTACAATAGTGAGGAAAATAGAACTTACTTTTAATTTACTATTGAATATTTACTTTTGAATAATGATGGATTGTAATGTATATGACAGTCTACATTACAATAAAACACATTGCACAATGGTAATTCCAGGATAGGGTAGCTTACCTAGCCTCCCAAGAAATTTATCTGAATTTGTACCTTAATCATATGATTTACAAAATAGTTTTGGAACTGGAGAGATGGCTCAGCAGTTAGGAGAACTGGCTGCTCTTCCAGAGGACCCAAGTTTGATTCCCAGAGCCCACATAGTGGCTTAAAAAATCCATCTGTAACCCCAGTCCTAAGGGATCCAATACCTTTTTCTGGCCCCCATGGGCACACACATGGTACACAAGCATAAATGCAGGCAAAACACCCAGACACATAGTTAAAAATTCTTTTAAGCCTTAGTTTAACTTTGTGAAGTATGATAATTTGTCTATTTAGACTCTTTCCATAGCTCTAATTCTAAGAAATAGCATATTAAATGTCCAAAACATTTTAAATACAATTTACTAAAGATTAACCGTTTTTTTAGCTGAGTGATGTGGCATATAAAAAATAATTAAAAGCAAAGTACAAAAAATTTACTTATATAATTATCCTTCTGTACACAGAAGCTTTGGTACATACCAGTATCAATAAATTATCATAGTTTATTTTGTATGCTCGTGGGTACCAAAATCAATGTGAAGGTGCTATTGTTATCATTTTATGAAGGTTTCAGAAACTTCTTAATTTGCTTATTAGAAGAAGTCAATATATTTTAACTATATAATGAAAGGAATGTGAACTTGTTTTATGAAGCATTATTTATATCTAGCCTATGATTTTGAAGTTTTATGGACAGATGAGCTTCTGAACCAACATGACCTTGCTTTCAGTCAGTCACCCGGCATTTTGTATTTGCTGCTTTGTTGCATAATATTTTATTACTTGTCTAGTTGTAGCCAATTCAGTTAGTTCACAAGATTACTATGTAATTATATGTCTGGGATTGTTGACTATTTTGAATAATTGGGCCCAGTTAAATTTTGCTTTGTGTTTAAAATTTTATTCAATGCATTTTGAATGTATATTTCTTTATAGAGATACCTGATCCTACAATTAGTATTTTAATGATTACTCTTAAGATATTTATTACTTTTCTAGCAATGGCCAGAAAAAGCATGTAGTTAACTGGTAATAAAAAGCATTACAAGTATACAATTGCATATAAATGTTGTTGGGCATAGCAATTAAAGTGAAATTCTCTGTGAGCATTTATAATTCATAGGTAATAATGCAGATTAATTCTTCCAGTGTATATTACCCATGGAAATAATTCCTATAATTGATTGACTTTCATTCGTTGATAGGTCAGCATACTTATGAACAGGAAGTTTTAAACGAATTAAATATTAATAGTGTAAACTCACTGAACCTTTTCAGAAGCATGATTTTCTCAGATGTCATCAGGACTGTGTTTCTCTCTGATTTATATAAGAGATATAAAAGTCCTAGGATAAAATGCAATATATCACTAATAATTTTCAACTGCTGAGCTGTCCCCTTCTGACAGGAATGGTCATCTTCTCTGGCTATATGTACACTGTAGAAGGCCACCATGGGAGGGAAAAAGACAGCCTATCCTGTCCAGCTTGGGTCAGCTGAATTCCCACTGGCAGGGTACTGAGTGGTGGGTGGCATGGCTACTGGGCCTCCAAATCACGTACATCAGCAGAGTCATAGAGTACAGCAACACTCAGTGCTGTGTGGCTGAGAGTAAATCCAACAGCCATTTCGAAGCAAATCTTGAAACGAAAGTACTGACACTTAAGACTGTTCCCTACACATAATCTGAGTGCAAGCTGAACAGCAGTTCTAACATTCTTCATGTTAGAATCAGCATAAGGCTGCAATTGTACCATTATTTATGCAGCATCATTTTTAAGATTCTAGCCAATGTTGTAAGATAGGGATATGAACTGACTTATGATCAGAGGAAGAAGACACACAGTCATATTATCTAAAATGGCTATGATCGTGGTTAAGTACCTAGAAAACTAAAAGAAAAATATTATAATTAAAATATTTAGGCATATAAAATATTTAAAAATTGACAGCTTTTCTCCATATTATCAATGATAACTTGAGATACAGAGAGAAACACCTGGTTTACAATAGCAGGAACTTGAAAACATTTAATATAGAAAGGAGGAGAGCCTTGGAGCCCATGTGAGGAAAACAGTGCACACAAAAGAGAGAACAGTAAAACCCGACCCTCAGGAAACCTGCCAGGCACCATTCTGAGTTTATGGTGTGTCTCCGTTTTCTCTCACAGCAACCCTACAAAGAAGGTGCTGCTATCATTTCACTGAAGCCCACAAAAGCTTGTGAATTTTGCCTTACATGACTAAGATCTCCATTGCATTCTTGAGTGAGATGCCCTAATATCATAAAACATTACTGTTTTCCAAAACAAATATTTGGGAAAATCTCTTTTCTTTTTAACCAGGTGTAGTAACATTAAGGATTTTATGGAGGTTAGGTGTCTAATAACCAAATGCGTTACTAAAGAAAATGGAATGGTGAATTGATAAATAGCTCTTGCTCTATAATTTTACTTCAGTTGGAGTGCTGATGCTGATAACTGTTACACTGGCAGACAACATTTTGATACAAGACACAATAATAAGTTCCAGGAAATGTACAGATATTTGAGTGAAAAATTAGCAGTTTTTCTAAAAAAACTATTTGAATGTGGTGTGGAAGCCTTTCCTAATGCAAGAAAACCCAAAGCCATTAAGGACATTTAAGGAATTGTCAGTGTTTACCATAAAATTCAAGCAATGTGTTATTTTGAAGAAAAAGTGCTTAAACACAGTGACAGAAGGTTGGTTCTCCTTTTTAATGAAGCGTCTGATGCATTATACAGAGAAAAACCACCTAATGGGCAGACAGATAATACTGTGAAGTGCGAATCCCGGCTATGGAAATCCAGGTGGCCAGGAAACAGAGGGGGGAGGATCTTCAGGTCATTGGTTGAAAAATCACAAATGAACACAACAAAGAAATATCACTTCCCATTTATGACAGAGTTTATAGAGGCAAAGGTGTAGATAAAATGTGACCTTGTATTGTAGTATTGTTCTTGGAAAATAGTCACACAGTCCATATACTACCTGAGGTGTGTATAGTTTTCACTTTGCAGCTTTGCCCATTTATCCTGCAAACAGAAAAGCATAGTGTAGGAAGGGATTAATTGCAGCCTTTTTCATATGGACAAATTGCTTAGAGACAGCCTGTGTCTCCATTTATAGGGAAGTGATTTTAAAATTATGATCTATGAGACTTAGAGGAATTGAACTGGGACTGCACCTGAGGACCAGCTCTCATAGTCACAAGTGCTTCTCAAGCTGCCAAGGGGAAAAGCAAACAGTAGTCCTGCCCAGCTGTAAAGCCTTGAGACATGACATTAACCAGTCTGTGGCTTTGGACAGTGAGTTAGTGTTCTCTCTGGACGTAAACTCCTCAAATGTGTGTGGAGATAGCTCTCCCTGATCTATTTCACTTTGTAAAAAGGAAGCATAAGACGTACCTCTTTCATAAATATTATATTTGTTGTTATAGTTAACCAATTTAGCCAATATTGATTGAATGCCTATTAGGTACCAATGATGGAAATAGGCATATTATTAAACATCTATTGTTACTTAGCTATCATTACATCGTAATGAATAAATGGATTATGAATAAAACAGAGTACCTATTAATGGCTGTAATTTTATTATTTTGTTTATTAAAGTTTGAAGCTGACCTTATAAACATTTTATAGTGGGAAATTACCAATACGGATCAGGTAGAAATATAAGGGTATTTAATAGGGAAAAAGCCTTACTTACAGAGCAACCTAGCCAGCTGGCGTGGCAGCAGTCTGTACAGCAAGCCCAAAAGAGAAACCGAAAGCGAAAACGCAGTCACCCTACGTCCCCTGACCACACCCTCCCAAGCCCCTAAGTAGGCGTGGCTACAGCTTCCCCTACAACATTTAATTTTTGTACATTTTACTTTTAAATGTAGGACATCCTGTATTATGAGCAGCTTAAGACCAACGTGATACAGCATGACCTTTTGGTGGACAGTCTAATTTATAAAGTAAGTAAAAGTATCCATGGTTTTTCCATTTCATCAATAGCATTTACAATGAAGAGTTTTCTCTCTGCAGGGATTGAACTGTGGGCAAATGTACATATTAAACTTGTAAAAGAATTTGAGTGACTGTGTGGTAGTGCATATCTGTGATGCCTGTACCCTGAAGGCAGAGAAAGGAGGACCAGGAATTCAAGGTCACACTTGGCTTCATAGTGAGTTTGAAACCAACCTGGGCTTCATGAGACCCTGGATCAAAAACAAACAAACAAACAAATGGGCAAGTGAGGGAGGAAATAACTGAGGTGATCATTGTCCCTGTGAAGTTGAGGCTAGCTTCCCAAGCTTGAGGCCTGTATGCAGTGTTGTCTTCTGTCCTTGGGAATTGTTCTTGTGCTCTTTTCCCAGACCCTCCATGTTTTCATGAAGAAAAAAAAATGGCCATCTTAAATTCAAGTCTTCCACACAAAGAAATTATTTTGTCTATTTGTCTCATGATTTAGGGCTTAGTTGTATATTTTTGTTGTAATAACGCTATTATAAGTATTTTAAATTATGTGTATGTGTCGACATGTGGGAGTGTGCACCTGAGTGCAGGTGCCCCTGGAGTTACAGGTGGTTGTAAGCTGTCTGAAGGGAGAAAACTTAAGTCTTCTGCAAGAACATTACAGTACTTGGCCACTGAACTATCTCTTTGGCCACATTAAACAAAACAAAACAAACAAACAAAAAAAAACAAAAACATTTTTTTAAGCTTCTAAATGTGTGGTCAAGTATATCTGAAATTTATAGTAGAGATTCATTGAGTAGTTGGTGCCAGGAGTTAGACTGTAAATATAAACATTTCCCCCTGGCATGGATTGTGGCTAATGAATGTGTGGGAAGGAATATTAAATTACATCCCTGAACTGAACTCTTAGATTCTTCTATCTGTATTGGGTTCTCCTCACCACCCCAACAACTAACCTTGTGTCTGTAACTCTAGTTCTACTGTTTACTGTGGCCTGCCAGTTATACTAATATTTCTCATTCTTTATTATCACACCCCTAAGGAAAAAGCTTAATTAATCTCTTATAATAATAAATGGCAATGAGCAAGATTCTGTTGGGTGAGCTTTGGTGTTCCATGTGCCACCATAATTCATAGTTTTTACTTCCAAGGCCAGTTTTGGCTCAGAGACAACATTACCATTGCTGAGAAGGCACCACCTTCACCATCACCCATGGAACCTCTGAGTGAGATAAGTGATCAAGTTCCTTCCCTGTACTCTGTAGTTTCAAGTTTTCTCCAGAGCTTTTCATGACTCATTCCACCAATCCCTTGACTTCTGTTTGGTTCAGCTGCTTAGTTGAATGTTCTAGACTGTTTCAGCTATATACTTATGGATAATTTTACTCTGTCATTGTGATTCTTTCCATATTTTATTACATATTTGTTCTTTCCATATATATATGTTTTGTCTGTATATACATCTGCACACCAGAAGAGGGCATCAAATCTCATGGGACTATAGTTATAGACAGTTGTGAGCCTCCATGTGGGTATTGGGAATTGAACTCAGGACCTCTGAAAGAGCAACCAGTGCTCTTAACCACTGAACTATCTCTCTGACTGATATTGTAGACTTCTTGAAGATAAATATTGTCTTTGTTTTCTTTGTTTGTGTTTTGGTTGTGGTGTACTTCATCCTGATCAACCAATCAGTACTGTTGAGTTGATTATATGGTGGGCTTAAAAGTGTCACCATCATTTGCGCATGGAGGATCTTCAAGATACAGTGTATCTACCTGGAGGGGATTTTGAACAACTTTTTTTTTTTTTGCAGATTTTTTTATTTGAATTAGAAACGAGATTGTTTTACATGTCAATCCCAGTTCCCTTTCCCTTCCCTCCTCCCCTACCACTCCCCCAAACTAAAGCCCTACCTATCACATATCCTTTCTGCTCCCCCTGGATGGTGAGGCCTTCCATAGGGTGTTTGATCAACTCTTAAGAGTTTTCTGAGTACTGACTTAGAACCTGATGTTGTCCTAAGCCCTTCTCATACCTTTTGAAGTAGGTAGTAATGTAGCAGTACTTTATCTTCAGACTGCCAGCCTGCAAATAATGCATGGAGACTTATTATTGACTATAAAAGCTTGCCCTTAACTGAGGCTTGTTACCTTGTCTCCATACTGCCCATCCTGCTTCCTCTGCTTCTGACTGATGACTCTACTTTTCTTCTTCCCAGAGTTCTCTCTCTGCCTGGAAGTCCCACCTAGCCTCTCCTGCTTAGCTCTTGGCTGTTGAGCTTTTTACTATACCAATCACAGCAATACATCTTCACACAGTGTACACATATCCTGCAACATCTGTAAATCTACCCATTTACAGACAAGGAGATTCAGTGTTCTGTTGTTACAGCGACAGTATATGAGATACTACCATTAAGAAGGAAAGGCTTACTTTACTGTATAATTCATGGGCATAGAGCCCTACTGCAAGTCAGTACCTCATGGCAAGAGTCAAGGTAGAGCAAAGCAACTTGCCTCATGGCAGCTAGGATACAAAGGAAGGGACAGAAAGGTACCAGGGTTCATATACCCTTCAGAGTCACCTCTTAGTAACTGGACTTCTCTCACTGGGTACCAACTTAAAGTTCTCACACTTCTCAAGAGTACATGAAGTGAGGAGAAGGTCAAGTCTTTAACACACATTCTTTTAGGGGACCACTTATCAAAGCACATCGACCTAGATTTGGAGTAACTAGCCAAAGTTATGCAGCTAGAAGTGGCTTAAACTCTTAATCAGATCTGGTGAAATATCTGTGCTCTTCACCCTGAAGTACATGATCAGCATGTTCAACTCCCCATAAAAACTGTTCAGAGATGGTCTAGGGGGAGTGCAGATGTTTTGCTTTTTCTGTGAGCTGTTGTTGGTTTGCTATTGGAGAGGTCACCTACGTAATGATACATTGCATCTCATCACGGAAAACTGCAATTGAGCAATTAGTTTCTGTTAATTTAACCATTGAGCCATCAAACACATGTTGGACATTTAAGTGCCAGACCCTGTGATGGAGCTAAGTGTATATAAAGCAAGGCACTGGATCCGAGAGAGCCTCAAGTCTCATTGGGAGAGTAGAATTCTTTTAAGTAGTCTCAGATCAGGAAATGCACATAGAACTATCTGAAGAAAGGACCAACATTCTATCCACGGGATGACATGAACTAGCCCTGAAGAATGAGTTCATAGGGCAGAAAATCACAGTTGTTAGCCTCCCAGGAGCAGGAGATGATTTTTAGGTAACCAATGACAAACATAGGAGATAGTTGATATTTTGAAGAAATAGCTAAGTTTGTTAGTTGTAATTGTTGAAGATGGGGTTTAGTCTGGGGAGAGTGCTATCATTGCTGCTGGAGTTGTGATCCTGTTTGCTTTTCTCTTCCAGCTTTAAGACATCTAAGAGGAGATTAACTGAAATCATAAAGAGTTATTGATGAAGCCTTAAGGAATTAGAAATCAAATAATTTTGAGACATATTTTGCTGAGTAAATATGTAATAGGAATAGAATCTCACCAGGAAATTTCTATAACATCACATAAAATATAAAATTCATTGTAATATTATTTCTAAATGTTGAATTTATTCTTTAAGATTAGAGGTAGATTCATTTGATTAAGTTTCAGTGCTTTGTAATTTTTAATTATAGGATGTGAAGCTGACAGCAAGCAACGATGATTATTATTTTGTATTTGAAGATTATTTATATCAGGTAAGTTTTTAAATTATCCAGATCTTTGTTTTAGGTTACCTAAGTTGTAATGCTTTAAAGATCTTCTATAGTTAAGTAAATCTTCCAAATTCCAAAATGAGTTTCTGGGCTGCCCCTTTGGTTACATATGTTGCAGCTAGGATGTGCTAGCAGGCCAGTTTTCTATAATTTTTGCTGGCATAAATTCTAAAACTAGATGTCAGCTTAATACTCAAGCAATCCCAAGATGTTTAGAGAATACATTTTACATGATACTTCCTATGGATATGTTCATAAATAATTAAGTGTCTTAAAATCAATGTGGAGAATCATGATTATTTTGATCATTTTGATAGACACAAACTACAAAGCATCCCTTAGAAATATTTCAAAGTACAGGGTAAGTGATAGAGGGGACTTTAGGGTATATAGAATCGAGATACATTGTATACATATATAAAGTTGTCAAAGGATAAATAAGCATTTTTTTAAAAAAATAAGTATGTCAAAGAACTAAAATGTCATAAATAAGTAAAGGAGGTATGGTGACTTATTCATCAAGTAGATAAGGTCAATAAAGAGATGAAAATCAAAAAGATAAATTCTAGAGTTGGAAAATAAAATAACTGAAATGAAAAATTCTCCAGATGTCTCAACAGTATTTTCCAAAAATTAGTGACTTGGAAGATAGATCAATAGTTAAATGAACAGAGTTTGCTTTCCTTATCCAAAAGTTGAGTATTTTGGGTATTTCAGTATTTTAGTATTTCAGTATTATTCAGGTTTCTCCAGTATCATAGAGTTCTAGACTTCCTTCTCTTATGGTTTAGTTCCTGATATAATGGATCCTTTTCTGAACTGATTGCTAAGGAAAACAGTGTAGGTAATGTTATGCAAGTAAAGATATAATTCAAACCAAAAACCTGAAACATCTAAATTTCTCTGCTTATTAAAAAGTTAGGTACTTTTGATGCTTTTTAAATCACAATTACAAAACTGTTACAGCAGGACCAATGGAGATGGCTCTCTGAATAAAGTGCTTGGCATGCAAGCTTGGGGACTAGAGTTCTTATCTGTAGAACCCATGTAAATGCTTAGTGGCCATGTGGTCTGCCAGTTATTCCAGTTTTTAGAAGACACAGACGGGATCCTTGGAACAAATTGGCTATCTAGTCTAGCCTGTATTGTAGCTCTAGGTTCAAGTGAGAGACCCTGCCTCAATGACTAAGGTAAAGATCAATCAAGGAAGACTTCTGACGTCAATCTTGAATCTTCTTACACATGTGTACATGCACACACATGCAAACACATATATACATATATACATGCACATGCATCTATACACATACATGCATACACACCACACCACATTTAAAAGGTGTTAGAATACCAAACTTAAGAAAAAAATCAATTACCATATATCAACCAAGAGCCAACAATGGCATAATTTATAGTCACTGACTATCATATTTCAATGTGTGGCCACAGAGAGTATAAATTTGGCAAATTTATCACATTCATGAATGAAGAGGAACTGTTAGTTTTAAGTTCTGACTATAAAGTCTTTTGGTGGTGGTAACAGGAACTCGCTAGGTGACAGATGCATCTCATTTGCTGACAGAGTCAGTGAGCAAGGGTAACAGTTTCTCCAGCTAATACCAGAAATAACCCATAAGAACATCTCCATCTCCCCTCACACATAAGTGACTCATATGTAAGAAACTTGAAAGTAAACAAGTCAGACAGCAGAACTATTCTCTAACCATGGGTGTGTTTGCTGAGGAAAGCAGGACAATTTTGAGGGAGTCCTTACAATCACCACACTATAAACTTTAGTTCCTTTAATGGGCCTGCAGTCTAGATGACAGGTGGGAGTGGGGAGTGGTAAATACTGCTGTGTCACAAGCTGGCATTGACCAGGTTAACCACAATTTACCACTGAAGGTCTCCCTGAAAATTTCAAGGTGGTCAACAGACTCCATGCTTCCCAAATAGCTATATGAGACTTATCTGTCAGCACAATAGTTGTCTGGATAGGGAGAGAGCTTCACAAACTTCCTACTTCATTATCTTAGTAGAGAACACATGATAGAGTTCTGTTCATTAGCTTGGACAAATGCAGAAAATACACAATAGGGATACCTGTAGCACTTATATGTTAAAGATGTTGTCCAGTTGGAATCCATCATTTCTCTTGTGGTTTTCATTCCACAAATGAAACTTATTTCTTACATTTCATTACAGTTATTTCTTAGAAACATTTAGAAATATACGTTGACATACTAAGAAAGCTTTCAGCCCAAGTAAACCCTTTGTAGACATTCTTGATCTAACTCTGTGGTATCACTCCACAGTTCATATTAGTACTCCGTTTCTTATAATTCTTCTAAAGAATGGAGAGCCCAGCTGAGTAATCTCATCTAGCACATTTATGTTTTTCTTGACTTATAAGTGACTATGGCCTTCTGAGTGCATACCCTAGCAGATTTACAATAAGCCAGCCATCTCCTTACAGATAAAGAAATCAGAGTTAAGCCAACTCAGACAGGAGTAGGAGTTGGCACCTCTCTGCATGTATCCCAGGGTTGCACCCCAGTACATACTGTCTACCACACCACCTCTGGCATTCTCACTTTACAGTCCCAGTATTCTCCTAGAGCAGTCTCAGATGTCTTGCCTTCTCCAGGCCACAGGCAGCAGAGCCTCTATGGAGATATATTTAAGCACAGAGCTTCTTCTAAAGTTACTTTGTTACCCCAGCCTGTTAAATTAAGGGGATATTGTTGAAATAAACATTTCCTTAGGATTTTCCTCTCTGAGGCAACAATAGATTGTCACAGATTTACATTTGTGTATTTAGGCCTTTATTTAGATTTATTAATGGTATTAGTTTATTGTTTGCATTAGATTATTGCTGCGACTGTAATGAATTATTACAATTCAGTGATTTAAAGCAAATAAATCCTCTTGAGGTTCTGAAACACAGAAATGTGTTTGACTTGGTTACATTCATGGTATCCACAGGGTTTCGTTATTTCTGGGGGCTCTGAACCCATTTCTTCATCTTTCCCAGCTTCTAGAGTGCACTTTCATTCTTTGGCTCACAGCTGGTTCCACCATTTTCAGAGCCAGTCAATAGACAGCATCTTAAAGTCCCTCTCACTCTGCCTTTTTGTCCCTGTCTCATTTATGGAAATACTTATGATTATGTTGGGTCCATTCATACAATACTGACAAAAATTGAGATTATAATTACATCATTTCTGCCTTCCCTTTCCTTCCCCATGCCCCCTCAGCTTGCTTTTTTTCAAATTCATGGCCTTTTTGTCTATAGTGGTTTAACTTTTCAAATATACTTATATATTCTGAAATACATAAATATGACTCAGTCCATATGATGTTATTTGTATAATATGTCTTCAGAGCTGACCATTTGGTAGTGATGACCAGTCAGTGTGCCTTTCCATAGGGAAGACTGTTTTTCCAACTCTCAGTGTTCCTTAGTTGTCTGTAGTATTTTGTCTAGGGTTGAGTGAGGCCTCATGAGTTTTCCCCCTTTCACATTTGCATGTCTTTTGGTCTCTTCCTTATTTGGGTCATGTTTAGGCAGGCTTGTTGCTAAGATTTCATGAGTGTAGCTTTGGATACTTCTAGGAGTTACTTCTAGTAAACTTTCAGCTCTTCTGTGTTAATCTTTCTGCCCCCTTTTCAAAATGGCCCCTGAGCCTTAAGTAAAGGGAGCTGTCCAAGAGACTCCCAAGTATCACAGGCTATGCTATTCCTTTGGTTGCTCCCCACCCTGGAAGTAGAATGTAAGTCCCTATTTCTAAAGACTCCATGCACTTAAGACGCAGGGCACAGAGGCCCCGAGTTGGAACTGACCTGAGTGTCTTCTCCCTGAGGTAATTGGCTAGGTTTCCAGTACCAGGCTTGATTTCCCTCTTGGTAAGCCAGCCTTAAGTTCAATTAGACTTACTAGGGTATGCAGGCAAGTATTATGCCCTTTGAGTTATTGTGAAACCATTGCAACTGATCAGTTATGGACCCCAGTCCCAACTGATACTCTAGAACATAATTCCTATAAATCAGGTTCGGAATCATTTCGGAAGAGGGACAGAAGGATTTAAAAGAGAGGAACTGGAAGTTTGCTGTGAGATTGTGTCTCCTAGAAATCTGTCAGAGAGGCTACATCCATGAAGTCTCACCAATATGCCCGACTAAATGTGACCTCAACAAGGACAGCATCAATTGCCATACTAACACGGAAGGGAATAGCTCCAAGGAGTCAACCCCAGACAAAGTAGCACAGGCAACTAAGCAATGCTGATGTCAGAGAGCTTCTCTAGGGAAAAGCACACCGATTGGTTATCCAGTACCTAATGGTCAGCCCTGGAAACATATACATACAAGAAACATTATATGGACGGAGCAGGTTGTATTTATGTGTTTAGGAACATACACACACACACACACACACACACACACACACACACACACCATCACGACCACCACCACCAGTTACAGAGAAAGAGGCAATGAATTTGAATGAAATAAGATGGAGTTACATGGGAGGGGTTGGAGAGAGGAAAGGTGTTGTGGGTGACCCTTCTCAGACACCCTTTGGGGGAGAGGGTGAGAAGAGGCAGCACCAACGACACAGGCACTGGGAGTCTGTGTGAAGCAGAGCATGCTGCAGGAAGTTAGGCCTGCCTTTATGCCCCCTCCCAAGGGCCCATTGTCTCAGGTGGCTAACTCTGCTGCCATGTCCTTTCCTCACTGGTGTCTCTTCCTTCCTGAGCTTGGCTCAGGGAGGAAGTGCCGGCCATGCATGTTCATGTAGGCTGGCCGGCAGTTTCTCCCACAGAAAAGAAAGGCAAGAATGTTGTAATGATATGATAGTCAAAACAATTAAAATTATAAATTAAATCAGAGCACACACAAAGAGATCAATATTATATACCAGTTCAATAACATTTTATAATTGTTTAGAGACCAATGATTTTGCCTAATTATTGGAAAATATTCATCATATTAATAGGTCAAAATTAAAAATTTTCTCGGTAGATGACAATAATTTTTCTGAGCTGTGTTTAATAAAATATTTTTAATTGCAGTTAGTGATGGTAGGTGTTACATTGTTAATATTTACAACTTAATATCCATTTTATACCATTTGTGTCCTAGAAAAGAAATGTATTTGTCAGCATAACAATGTCTATATAATAACAGCACTCCTGTATTAATGTAATTTAGCGTTATTTACTGTTGGGAGCTAGGCGTATTTTCATTGACACAAAGACAACAGCCTACCACTTGGCATCCATGCTACACCTCCACAGCCCCAGAGCCTCCTCTCTCAACTACATACCGGCTGTTGCCCCCCCCCCCAGGGTACTCTTCCCCATTAGCCACACAATAAGTTTCTCAACTTTTGCAAGTGTTTGACCAAGGGCACCATCTCAAAACCACTTTCTGTGGAATGGCAAGCCCTTCTTTGGGCCTCCTTTATCTTGTTCCTACAGCACATGCCACCTAATGCACTATTTAATTATTCCCACACTTGCTGTTTATTTTGTTTGTTTTGTTTTTTCTATTCTTTATTTAAATTAGAAACAAGCTTGTTTTACATGTCAATCCCAGTTCCCTCTCCCTCCCGTGCCCCCATTAACCCTCTATCCCATGCCCTTTCTGCTTCTCAGGGAGGGTGAGGCCTTCCATGGGGGAATCTTCAAAGTCTGTCATATCATTTGGAGTAGGGCCTAGGCCCTCCCCAGTGTGTGTAGGCTGAGAGAGTATCCTCTACGTGGGTTGGGCGCAAAGTCCATTTGTGTACTAGGGATAAACACTGAGAGGCCCCATATATTGCCAAAGCCTCTTCACAGGCACCCACATTCAGAGGGTCTGGATCAGTCCTCCTCCCATGCTCCTAATTTGCTCAGTAGATCTTGTCCCTTTCCCCTTCTCCAGAGGACAATTTATGTCTCCCTTAGACTCCTCCTTGTTTCCTAGTTTCTCTGTCGGTGTGGATTGTGGGCTGGTACTCCTTTGCTCTATGTCTAAAATCCATATATGAGTGAGGACATACCATGTTTGTCTTTTTCACACTTGCTGTTTATTACTTCTCTTTCCCATGGCTGAGTCCAATGCTTTGTTTTTATGTCTTTCTTTTGATGCACCCCTACCCTGAGATTTGTGTTTGGTGTATAGTGAGCGAAAGAAGACAGCCAACTGATTTTTAGAAATCTGTGGAGGTTTGCCAAAGTGGAGTTCGAAGTAATAAAAATAATTAAAAAGGACAGAGGTTGAATAAGTGTAGGCCAGAATTATAGAAGTCCTATATAATTAAATAGAGAAAAATGGGGATCATTCAAAAATATAATGCTTGAGTATTTTCCAGGAATGGAGAAACATGATAGTTGAGCCATTTAAATAAGCAAATCCCAAATTAAATATATTATGAACAGAGACTAGCTAAATATAGAAGATTAATAGCAATTTAGTTATAACTGTAGATAACATTTTAATAATGTGACATACTCGGGTACTATTCTAAACACTTCCTGTATATCAATTAATCCCAATTTACTTTGATCTTAGCATTGTTATTATATTAATTTTATATATGAGGACACAAATACTTAGAAGTCCAGTCACTTGCCCTTGTCATCCAGTTAATAAACTGTGGAGCTACAGTTTAAAGTCCAGCAAAAATAAGTCTAGATGGGTAACTGCCTCATTCTGTGCCCATTTTTCTTTATGCAGCCATCTTTGTGATATCCTTAGAGTTCCAGGTCTTATAAATGTCCTTTCACTTTCCCGAGGACTGGATTTCAGCCCCAAACTTTGGGCCAGTGTAATCAATCCAGGTTTTTCTATCAGGAAGCCTTGGTCCAGAATGTACCCTCTCTGTTTTATTTCTTGATGGAGTTGCTGTGTGCCCCTGCTGGCCAGGAAAGCCAGCTTCTACCTTTACTGGGAAAACCCTTGCTTTGTTGCTGCCCATCCCATCTGTCCTTGGGGTGGAACCCCCTCTTCCTTCCTTCTTTATTTTTTTTTTCCGAAACAGGGTTTCTCTGTGTAGCTTTTTAAACCAGGCTGGCCTTGAACTCACAGAGATCCACTTGCCTCTGCCTCCCGAATGCTGGGATTAAAGGCGTGTGCCACCACCACCCAGCTCCCCCCACCCCATTCTTGATATGCCCACCAGTCTTTTGCACACCAGTTAAGTCCGGTTCCAATTTCCTACACCCCTCAGTGTTTGTGTGTGATTACCCCCAGTTTCCCCTCTGTGGTTCTCTTCTGCTAGGTTTCTGAAAGTGATTTTAGTTTCCTGATAGAACACAAGAAAATTAGCACATAGTTGGCAACTTGCGTTTTTCTAGTGTTCAAGGCCTGGGCAGCAAATAGGGAAAAAAATCTTTACAAGAACTGCCTTCCAGCCATAACAGCCTAACACATGCTTGCCTGACCTTGCCTTGGTCACTAGGAGGTCAGATGCCTGCCTCTGGCAAGGAACCAATCAGAAGTTAGCTGGTGATGCTGTGCTTTACGACTCTGGGTGTGCTTTACAGACAAGTGCACAGCAATGATGTGCAGAGCATAGCAACCACCCTGGGAGGGCCTATGGGCCATAACAATTAGTTGGCCAATCAACACAGGGCAAGTCCTCCAAGCCTGGAGGCACACCAATCCTGAGCCTGTGCGTGCCCCTAGACACTCCCCTTATGTTGCCCTATAAGATCTTGGTCTCATGGTTTCTCAGGGTCTTTCCCCAGCCATCCGCCATGTTGGGTGGATGAAAAGCTAACATGGGGTTAGCTCGTTAAACAACTGCCACGGCCCTTTCAAAAAAAAAAAAAAAAAAAAAAAAAAAAAAAAAAAAACCTGCAGGAGGAGTCCCTCTGTGAACATTCAACTTAGATTTACCAATAGAGGGCGCTCTTCCCATTGCAAAGCGCAGCACTGAACTTGAGCCGTCCCACTCCAATGCCTCCTCCGTATGCAGGTATAATTAATTTAATTTCTATCCATTACTCTATAGCAGTACTCATTGTTAATTTTTCCAATGTTATATTCAGGTATTACTTTGTTTTTCACGGGATACGTCCGTACTGGGTCACTTTGCATACAACAGTGCTTCACCACCGAAATCATACATCAGAGGTAATATTTTGATAATGCTAAAGATAAATTGCTAAAGACTTACATAATCACCCCAAGAATGTTTGATATATCTTATATTGGTGTTTCCAGTTTTTAAACTGAAAATTATTTCCGATTTCTCTGCAATACTAATTACTTTTCCTTTCAATGTCAGTACCCAAGCGCTGAGCACAGACCATTCTCCAATGGTGACAGCATTGTGGTTGACTTTTGAGCCCTTGCCATCTCCTGCCTCCTCTGTACTGTTGGTGCAAAATCTGTTTTCTTCTCCTCCATACCCACAAACTCATCACAGAGATTCTTCTTTTCAATTTTTCTTAACTTTCTTTTTGTAAATTAATCTTGAATTCATCTAGTTATCCTACCCTTAAAATTATGGTATAAAATGTGTGTTATTACCTTCTAATATTTGTTCTAGTGTTCTCTCTAATGCTATCTGCCTCATCGTATCTATGTCACTGAGGTCTGAATTAACTTGAGCCCTTCTCTCCTTTTCACTGAGGGGTAAACCCCCAGCACTTAAATGTCACTGCCCCGTTGAGTGTGTGGGTGTGGCCCTTCTGCTGCCTCCATGAAGAAAGAAATGTTTTCTCCAGGGTTTTCTTGTGCCTGGTTGTTCCAACACTTGCCCTAGGAGAGACTCCATCATCTTGTGTTGGAGTCAGGATCCCCCAACATGGGGCTGAAACAAATATGTAAAACATAAAAGCTCCCTTTTATTTTTCTCTAAACAGATGGTTGGGTGGGGAAGACGCCTGTGGTACAAACATGAGGGCCTCACTTTGGTTCCCCAATAAAGCCAGGCACAGCAGAGACAAGTGTATCCCAGATGCTCATGGCCAGCCATCCTAGCTGAATCGTTAGAAAAAAAAGTGGAAGGTGATGGGGAGACAGTTGACTTTGATCTCTGGCTTCCACATGCAAACACACACATGCATGCACATAGACATGAATATACATGCATGGCACACGCCCTTACATCCCATCCTGCACATAGAGTGATGGTAAAATTTAATTACCTAATGGGCTAAAATGAGCTATAATTTCAAGACCCTCCACCTGCCCACACCATCTTAACCTCATTTCCTTTCCTTCCCCGATTATCTCATAATGTGCTATATTCTATTCTAGCCCCCTCCAGAGCCATAGGGCATGAAAAGCTTCACTTTCCATCCCCGAAAATTATAGGTCCTTGATGAACTAGCCTGTGTCTCACATCTACCAACCTATCATCAGTTTCCTTTCCCTCTGAGCTTGAAACCCTGAAAGCCCATTTAAAAGAAGTCAGCAAAACTATTCTATTATTTGTGGTTTGGCCTGGATTATAACCCTTGTGGGTGGGAACTGTACTCTTTATTTGCTATGCTTGTCTTGATATCTACTACTGTAAATAACTGTGTGTCTGTGTTTCATTATTCCATTCTTTCCTCTGACAAAGATCATTTAGTTCTATGTGTCTTCACCTTAACCTGAGATGACCACACTTTTTACTCTTATCTTCTCCCTGCCTTTCACCCCCCAAAAAACCTTAATAATAAATTTTAATTTATATCCCAATGCAAGAATGAATGTCCTTTTAGTAAACACAGAGTTGTTAGGAAAACTGTTAAGATGAAAGCCACCTGCCTTAGTTAGGGTTACTGTTGCTGTGGTGAAACACTATGACAAAAGCAAGCTGAGGAGGACAGTGTTTATTTGGCTATGCTTCCTTATCACAGTTCATCATCAAAGGAAGTGAATACAGGAACTCAAACAGGGCAGGAACCTGGAGGCAGGAGCTGATGCAGAGGCCTTGGAGGGGTGTTGCTTACTGGCTTGCTTTTCATAGCATGCTCAGTCTGCTTTTGTATAAAACCCAGGACCATTAGGCCTAGGGGTGCCCCCACCTACAATGGCTGGGGCCTTTCCACACCAGTTACACTATTTTGTTTTTTAAGCCCTACAGCTTGTCTGCTTACAGCCCAGTCTTATGGAAGCATTTTCTCATTTGAGCCTGTGTCAAGTCGACATAAAACTAGCCAGCACACCACCTAGAGTTAGTTATCCAGAGGAAAACATGGAAGTGAGCAGGTGTTGAACATTACAGAGAATGTACTTTCCTAGAACCATTCTGTTTTCAGATGTTTATCCTTTGTCTCTGATCATACAAACTCTGTTGTTGGGAGTCAGGATATATGACTTAGTTAAGCAGTTGAAGATATTTAATTTTTAACTCCAGCACATTTTCTAAAACCATAAGCTAATGGGATATGGCAAGACTTCAGACTTGCTTTAATGAATTTATGCTTATAAATTATTCTCAACTGGTTAAGGAAATTTGAAAGCATTGTTTAAAGCATATTATTGTTTTTAATTCCTAAAAGGCTTCACTGGTATCAGCTGACAGATTTTCAACTAATTCCATATCATGAAATGAAATAAAGTTAGATTAAGTGATTTTTAAAGTTCCATTCATTAGTAGGACATTCACAGAATGTTGGTTTTTAAAACTTAGCCGGGCATGGTGGCACAAGCCTTTAATCCCAACAGTCAGGGGGCAGAGGCAGGTTGATCTTTATGAGTTCAAGGCCAGCCTGGTCTACAAAGCAAGTTCCAGGACAGCAAAGGCTACACAGAGAAACCCTGTCTCAAAAATCCAAAACCAACAATTTTACTGTCTGTGTGACTTTCTCTTACAGGAAAGCTAGGGTTAGAAGAATATGCTGTCTTTTATCCACCAAATGGTAAGTGATGCTGCTGCTTCCTCTAGAGGGAACTGGGGAAATGACAGATTTTGTAATGATGTAACTTTCTCATTCTGTCCTTAAAATGGAACACAAATTATCATCCTAACTATTCCTTCTTTCTGTAAAAGGTATATTTTACTGACTTCCTCTATGTTTGTGTAATGTAGTGCCAAACTGTGCATGTCCTTTCCAGCTCTGCTTGGGACCAATGCGAGATTTGTGAGAAGCTGAGTCAGTGCCAACGCCCAAGTCTAAGGCATGTAGTTTTCCTTGAGGAACAATAACCAGCTCAACTAGGACTTTAACTTTGTGTTATCATCACAGTGCCGGAGCTAGGGGAACAGACTGCCCTGTGCTGTACCTCCCTGTCTTCATTAGTGGCCAGTGTGGTATTAGTGAAATACAAAGATTGTGAAGAAAATCGTTGAACTTGCTGAGCCATTATTGCAAATGACCCCGTATTTACTATTTAGACATTCAGTATACAGGTCTTTCAGTATGTGCAGAAATGCAGTGTAGAGCTGTCCTTATCGTGATGGTATTAAGCTACACCCTAAATATCTTTTGCTTTAGAGGAATTAAGAGCTTCAGCATTGTAACCCAGTGGATCTGGGTTCAGATCTGAGCTCTGCCAACTCATCCTCTGACTTTGGTTAAGTTATATGACTTCCCTAACCTCAAGTCTCATCAACTTAGTATATGGATAATGATCACATGAGGTATGTTATGAAAACAAGAGCACAGGGCCTAACATGTAATGAGTGTAGAAAATACAGCCATGGCAGTTGTGTTTAACAGTATCGAGCACTATCTGAAAGTCAGACATGGCTTTCCTGACAGTTCCATCTTGTACCTTTCAGCTTTGTGACCTGGTTTCTTATATCCTTGTCTTGTTGTTTTTCTCCTCTTCTCTCTTCACACATTTCCCTATGTTTCCATTTGCTTCCATGGGTCTATTTGTTCATTACTAAAATTTCTCTCTCCAGTTCTAATGTCTTCTGTGATTACCCCAAACTTAATATGACCCACCTTAGTATATTATTTTCCTGTGCCCCTCAAGACAAAAACAAAAACAAAAAAATGAAAAACAAATTAATCTGGGCGATGGTGCTGTACACCTTTAATCACAGCACTCGGGAGGCAGAGCCAGCTGGATCTCTGTGAGTTCAAGGCCAGCCTGGTCTACAGAGTGAGTTCCAGAACAGGCTCCAAAGCTACACAAAGAAACCCTGTCTTGGAAAAGAAAGAAAAGAAAAGAAACAAATTAAAGTAACAAGCAACCAACCTATACCTGTCTCAGTTAACTGACACTTTCATCTATCCAGTTACTCGGACTCTGGTCCTGAAACCTGGAAGTCATCCTAGATGCCTCAGTCTTGCCCCACCTCCGTGTATGTCTCCAAAGCCTTTCTCTTTCATCTGGAGTCATCTCGTCTTCACTGTTACCACTGCCTTGCCCTCCATCTGACCTTCCATCTCCAGTAGAACTGTAACGACTGTCTATATCGGTATCTTTTCCTTACCTTTTCTAGTTCTCAGTTTTTGCCTCTGCCATCTCGTTTATACCTCTAAAATGAAAATATGAAGATTGCCATTTTTCAGGTTTCCTAATGTTGCTGAAAAGTTTAACACCCAAGCTTCTCAGTATGACATGCAGAGTGGCATCCCTGGAGTCTGACCCCTGTACATTTGACTCCCTGGTTTCATATATTACCATTTCCCATCTCACTCCTTAAAAAATTAATATTGATATTCAGCTGTTTATTCTCACCCATAGTCACATACTCTGACACAAGCATTGTGTTGCTTCCTACTTCTTGTCCAACATTGTTTCCAGCTCAGGGTAGACCATATAGCTTTTCTTCCCTTGGCCATCAAGGAGGCTCAGTTCAGGCATGATTCTGTTAGTATGTGTCACTGAATCTCTCCTAGGTTAAGAGCCCTTCTCTTGGCTCTCATGTACGTGGGCAGAGAACTTTGGTATCATTCAACTTCATCTCCCTCTCAGTGCTTCAGGCTTCAGAAGGTCCAGGGCTCTATTCTTGTTTCATCATGGCTCTCCCAGTATCTAGCATATAGTAATATTACAACAAGTTTACTTGAACTAAACTAGCTGTGTTTTAATTTTTATGTGTAGACATAAATTGTTTTTTATCCTTTATTCCAGGGACTTAATTTTCCAGTAACCTTTTATATTTAAGAAATAGGAGCTGGAGAGATGGCTCAGAGGTTAAGAGCAGTGGCTGCTCTTCCAGAGGGCCTGAGGTCAATTCCCAACAACCACATGGTGGCTCACAACCATCTGTTATGAGATCTGGTGCCGTCTTCTGGTGTGCAGATATACATGGAAGCAAATGTTGTATATATAATAAATAAATAAAATAATAAAAAAGAAATAGAAAATCAGAAAAAATAAAATGTCTCTAAGTAGCTGAAAAAAATATTCACAGATTCAGGGAATCAGAAGGCATTGTTTAGAAGATCTTAGCTTTTACTTAGACATGTGCCTGACACATGTCATAATTGAAATGTAAAGGCTTCACACTATAGAACATTACACAGGAGCATTCCAGCAAACCATCCTGGGACTGATTTATATAAAAGCCAGTAACTCTCTGGTCTTTCCAATGATTATAGGTTGTAACACATTGTAATTTCAGCTCTTTTGTGTGTGTGTGTAGTACCAGGTGTTAACCCTGTGTCTCATGCATGCTAGGCACATGATCTACCACCACATTATATCTCCAGCCCTAAGATAAGATCTTTATAATCATGTCAAGAAATATGTACTTATAATCACAGTAATAATTTAGGAGTAGTTGTGGATGCATCATCTAATATCTTCTGAGCCATACTAAGCAAGCTGGAAATATGTTCAGTATTAATTCATGAAATCCTTATATAATCCTATGATACAGGTACTACTGTTATTCAGTTTATGGATAAAGAAACTGAGGCACAAAGGGTTAACTGCCTGGCTGGTGGGTGACAAAACCAGGCTTTGAACCCATGATATCTGGCTTCAGAAACAGTATTGCTGTCACTTGCCCCCAAGCCTCAGAACATGTAACTCAAGTTATTATAGTATCTTTGGAAAGAAAAGAAAGTGACTACAATATTGACAAAGTAGAGAGTTCCATATAGTAATTCTACAAAGATTTCTATACACACTAAAAATAAATAATTGCATACAAACTGAGATCAACTCACAGCTGGCCATAAATTTAATTCTACAGAATCATTTCTTTGGGGTGGTTTTAGAACTTACAGAGTCAAGGACACTTTTTCTTTTTCTTTTTTTTTTATGTTTTGGTTTTTGAGACAGGGTTTCTCTGTGTAGCTTTGGAGCCTATCCTGGCACTCACTCTGGAGACCAGGCTGGCCTCAAACTCACAGAGATCCGCCTGCCTCTGCCTCTGCCTCCAGAGTGCTGTGATTAAAGGCATGAACCTGCAACGCCCAGAGCCTAAGGACACTTTTCTAGAGTCTACTCAGTGTTGGGACTCCTTTCTCTGAAGCGTAGGCAGTACTGCACAGTGTTTCACATTACCTGTCTCATTCTCCAACCTTTGCCAGAACAATATTACTTTGAAAACTGAGGGCTATCTATAGCACTAGCGAGGTCAGAACTGGCCTGACTTACTTGGGCAGAGACTCACCTGCAGCTCTCTGGAGTCCTCCGTCCCTGACCAGCAGGCACTTCCATGGATAGAGTTTTCACACCACCACCCACATTTTCCCTCCACACACCTATGACACCTTTCCTAGGATGAAGACGAAAGCCATGGTCCCATGAGACATTACCTCACTGAAGACTCATCAGTGGACAGATCCTCTTTAAGAAATTAAGTTCTTCTTAAACAAGATTCTGAGATGAGGGAGACATTTCAAGGGTGTCTTACAAGTTTTTCATGTTTATTGTTATTATTCAGCATGTGTAGATTGCGTCTGCTCATTTTCTGAATATTCATTTCCTCCTCTGGCTAATGCTGCATGACCCACAGTAGTCAAGTGTACAAATAAAGGACCTGCTGCTGAGGACCCTCCATGCTAGTAAAGTAGATATACAAGAGAGAGAGAGAAATATTTGAGAGTGATGAACTGAGCAGTAAAGGTATCAGAAAGTGTGGGCAGCTGGGGAAGACCTTGCTGTTGTAGATAAGGTGATGAAAGGCACCTCTAGGAAGTAGAAAGGGATAGAGTCCCAGTGAGCTGTGTAAGTGATGTAAAGCAGTGGGAAAAGAACATTCCAGAGGGATATAGCATGTTTAAGGACAAGAGTAGGACCAAGACCGATGGTCTGAAAAACACCACAATGCATAGGGTGACTTCTAAAAGTAGGAGAGGCAATCAAGGTCCAGACCAGGGTGGGATATGATTGATGTAAAACCATCTAGGATTACTCAAGGATGGTTTGCATTAATTTCTTTTTTGTTTTTTTTTTCCCCCTGTGGATGAGCTATGCTTCATTTCTTTGCATACCTAGATTTTTTTCCATTGCTGAAAATCATCTGTCTTCACTATTATAATGTGATAATTCTGGGAATCAGACTGCCCCCCCATCAGAATTCACTGTTGTTGCTCATGCTTTTAGAATTGTTTGTTTAGTGATTTGTGTAAACTCTAAGTTTATTAATTTATTATTTTTGTGCCTACCAAAATCTTTGTTCTTTTAGCTTAACAGTGAACTAGTGATTTGATAAGAATGTGCTTAAATGTTCAAGGAAAACTTTTAAGCCTTGGAGTAGGTCACACATGAAGGTTATCTAGACAATTTACAACTCTCTGTTAGTTTTCACTTTTTTACAGAGGCTAAAGACAGAAATGGGAGCCTGGGTTCTCTGTCCTTCCTAGATCCTTCTGTATTCCATACATAGGAAATTTCAAAGTCCTTATTTCTTCATATAGTTCCTTTCTGAGCCTCTTCCTTTCCATGTTTTTCAAGCTGTCTATTATTTGCCCAATCTGTTATTCCTTCTTTCTTGGGGCCATAGTGT